AGCAGCAGCAGCAGCAGCAGCAGCAGGAAGCTCGTAGTCAGCCAAGTTGACACTTTTGATCATTTCTTCGAGGCGCTTGTTCTTGATGAGCTGCCGAAAGGCCGAGTGGCAGAAGGGACACTCGTGCTGCTGCTGCAGCTGCTGCTCTATGCATGCTCTGCATGCAGAGTGGCCGCAGTTAGCAGCACATTTGATCAGCAGCGGGTTGCGCATGGGGCCCCTGCAGAAGCAGCAAATCCATTCTGCTGGCAGCAGCGGCTTGGGGGCCCCCTCGCGGCGCTGCAGGGCCCCCCCCCATTCTGCTGCAGTCAAGCTGCTGCGGGCCTCGTGCTGCAGCACTTCTTTTGCTGCTGCGCCCCGCAGCACCCGCCGCTGCAGCACGACTTTCGCAAAGGCCGGCACTTGCTGCTCGTCCTCCGCCTCCGTCAGCTCCTCCTGCGGCCCCTCCCCGCTGCTGCTGCTGCTGCTGCTGCTGCTTTTGGAGGACACCAGGAATATCTTCAAGTCTATCTTTCGACGATAGTCTGCAGCAAAGCCACACTGACGCGCCAGCAGCAGCTTCAACTCCCCCACGCTAACTGTGGGGCCCCCAATGGGGCATTCCCGGTAAGTTCCTGCATGCTCCGATATCAGTCGAAAGTATATCAACATCGCTGCTGCTGCTGCTGCTGCTGCTGCTGCTGCTGCTGCTGTGAAATGAGCTCGGAGGGAAGCGCCGGCGGGGAGGGGAGGCTTCTGAGGTCCTCAAACACTAAAAGGTCAAAAAGACACAAGGCGGGGGTTGCTGCAGCGCGCATGCCGAAGAGACGCTGTGGAGAGGCTGCTGCTGCTGCTGCTGCTGCTGCGGGGCCCAGCTGGCAGTGCTGCGGGGCTGCGCAGTCTGTGTCTTTGCCTTTGAGACTATTTGTGCGAATCGGCCAGAGCCGGACACGGAGCTCCAACGGGCAGACTCGCCTGGAGAGGGAAGGAAGCCGCGAACATCAGGCGCTGGGGAAGCAACTTCCCCCTCCCTCACATTGAAAAAGAATCCAATTGCCTAAATGCACAAATAAATGGCGCTATTCAGACAAATGCGGCGAAGTTCGCGCGGGAAGAAGGACAGAAACGCAGCAGCCGCGGCGACAGAGCGGCTCGGAGGGGGAGCGCCGCAGAAACGCGGGGAGGGCCGGAGCTGTCCGCCGAGCAAAGTGCAATAAAAAGGCGGAAATAAAGAGAAAATTGCACGAGTTATCCTCAGGAACAAAAACAATGAGGAGAGCCGAAGCTGAACACCCACTCAAAGCCCCGACGCCTCTTCCCCGTGGCGCTGGCGATACGCCGCCGTTTCTGCAATCCTCGCCGCCGAATGCGCCTTATTCGTCCTTTGGAGGGAATTAAAAAAGGAATATTTGCTCTAATATTCTTTGTTCAAGCTCTGTTGGCGCGTAGATCCACCGAAAACGCCCAGGCGCTCTCACTGGCTGTTCTTCTGCTGCCCGCTGCAGCTTAGCTTTCTGCATTTCCTTCTTTAGCTGCGCGATCCGCCGCCTCCCGCCGCGGTTTCGAGGAATTGGTTCGCATTTTTGGGTTTTCCGCTTTTTAAGCATTCGAAAAAGGTCTAAGGTTTCTTCCTTTCGCCATGAAATCGCACGGAGTTTGAGCTGTTCAACTTCAGCGGACGCGCGCCCAGCAGCCGCGCAGGATGCCGTGCTGGCTGCGCTTTTTCGGCTGCGAATCTCCGCAGCAGTAGTTGTTTAAATTGTTATTTTAAGCTGTTTATTGCCGGCTTAGGCGCCCACAGCCAAAGCGCCTCTCCCGCTGCAGCGGCTGTTCGCTGGCTGCGCTGCAGCACCCGGCGGCGCTCGTTGAACGGGCGGGGAAGCCCTGCAGCAACGCAGATTAGGCAGCAGCAGCTGCAGCAGCAGCCGCTGCAGCGGCGCGCCGAAGGCCCCTGCTGCAGCCTTCCTGGGCTTTTCAGCAGCTCTTGCTGCCGCTGTGTGCGCGCGCAGCAAGCCAGCCCAGGCCCTCGCGCCCTTTGTTGCTTTCGCTGCTGCGAGTTGCTGCCACGTCCCCACCCCTTGCAGCAGCAGCAGCAGCAGCCGATCGCAGCAGGAGCCCACCCCATCCCAGCAGCAGCAGCAGCAGCAGCAGCAGCAGCAGCCGATCGCAGCCTTACTAGCAGCGCACCCCCGCAGCAGCAGCGGCCTCCGCGTCCTCCGCGGGAGCCTCCCTCCACCCGCACCCGCACCCCCGCAGCAGCAGCAGCAGCAGCAGCAGCAGCAGAAGATGTCGACGCTGCGGAGCGAGCCGATGGTGCGGGGCACCATAGTGCTGCCGTCTTCGCTGCCGGTGGCCCACGAGCTGCTGGAGCGGCTGGGGCGGCTGGGGGCCGTGCAGTTCGTGGACATGCAAGCAGCAGCACTTGCGAGGCCTTACAACAACTACATTCAAAGAATAGAAGAAATGGAAAGAATAATAAGGTTTCTGCAGGAGGAGATCCGCTGCCTGGAGGGCGGCCCGGGCGCAGCAGCAGCAGCAGCAGCAGCAGCAGCAGCAGCGCCGCAGGGCCTCGTCGTCGTGGCCCCCGACGGCGAACGCAGCTTCCTCGATAATGGACACGGCTACGTTTTGGACAAAGTGGAGGAAGCTTTGAACCGGCTGTACGGACAGTTCGTGCTCTTCAAGGGAAACAATTCAAGTTTGCAATCCGAGAAAAATGCTGCTCTCGAGGAGCAGTGCGTGCTGCGGGTGGCGCTGCAGCAGCTGCAGGGCGGCGCTGCAGCAGCAGCAGCAGCAGCGCGCGCGCCCCCTGGCTCGCCGCCGCCCGAGGCCCTCTCCGACCTTGAGGACGGCGGCTCCAACTTGCTGCTGCTGCAGCAGCAGCAGCAGCAGCGCCAGCGCTCCTCCGAGGAAGACCTCGGACCCGGCAGCCTCGGCCGCAAAGCTGCAGCAACTGCTGCTGTGTCTGCTGTTGCTGGCGTCCTGCCAGCAGCGGAAATCCCCCGCTTCCAGCGCACGCTCTTCCGTGCAACTCGCGGCAACGCCTTCTGCTTCTTCCAGTCCATCGAGCTCCCCTTCTGCGACCCCAAGTCCGGACAGGATATTCAAAAAAGTGTTTTCGTTGTTTACCATCAAGGAAGCACGCAGTCGCTGCTGCACGAGAAGATCACCAAGGTCAGCAGCGTCTTCGGCGGCTGCTGCTACGAGTGGCCGCTCAGCCTCAAGCAGACGCAGGAGCGATTGGAGGGTAAGCTGCACTTTTCCTCCACTTCTTTCCTTCCTTTTGCTTCCATTTGCATTTATTTTCCATTTTCCTCCCCTCTGCGCCCTCCAAATTCCGCAGTTCCCCTTTTTTCCGCAGCTTTCCACCCCGCGCCGCCGCGCGCCGCCGCGCGCGAGGTGTACGTACACCCCAGCTCCCGCGCCGCCGCTTTGCGAATTCAGGTTTGGCAGATGTCATTAAAGACAAAGAAAAGGCGCTGGCCGCCTACGAACATTACTTTTTGGGAGAAATTTCCACTTTGCTGGATGTTCCCAGAGAAGGCAGTTCTTCTTTGATCGAAGAATGGCGGATGTTCTGCCAAAAGGAAAAAGCCATTTACGCGGCCCTCAACTGCTTCGAAGGCAAGCCTCCCCAATTGCGCATCTACCTAGCTAAATAGCTAGCCAGCTAGCTAGCTAGCTAGTTATGTAAATGGCTAGCTAGCTAGCTAAGCTAGCTAACCAACTAGCCAGCCAGCTTATTAAATGGGCAGCTGCCTGGCTAGCTACCGAGCTAGCCGGCTAGGCAACCAACTAGCTGGCTAGGTAGCTAGCTAGCTAGATTGCCAGCTAGCTAGCTACTAGCTAGCTGGCTGTTTAGCTAGCTAGCTAGCTAGCTAGCTAGCCGCTGGGTGTACCTGAGCCGTGGACTTCTGCCGAGGAATTCGGCAGCAAATACATCAAACAGCTCCTCGACTATCGAATTAAATTAATTAATTAAATTAATTAAATTAAATTAATTAATTTAGTTTAATTTAATTAAACCAATTTAAATAAATAAATAAAATATTTTGAGAAGCTTGTCTTCAGGAAGAGACATGACGCTGCGGTGTTCCTGTTGGATTCCCAAAAAGAATGAAGAGAAAGTTCGAAGCATTTTGCGCTCCATGGAAGTCACTGGCGACGAGCAGGTCCTTTTATTTATTTTTCATTTGTTTATTTGTTTATTTATTTGTTTATTTATTTTATTTCTTTGATCATATTGTTTTTTGTTTTATTGTTTTATTTATTTATTTTATTTGCTTGTTTATTTGTGTGGTTTTTGTTTGGTGGTGAGTTAGGTGGATGGGTGGCTGGCTAGCTGTAGGCTGGCTAGCTAGCCAAGCTGCTAGCTAGCTAGCCACGCAGCTAGCTAGCCAAGCAGCTAGCTGGCTAGCCAAGCAGCTAGTTAGCTAGCCAAGCAGCTAGCTAGCTTGCCAAGCTGCTGGCTAGCTAGTCGAACAGGTAGCTAGCTAGCCAACCAAGCAGTTAGCTAGCCAGCCAATCAGCTAGCTGGCTAGCCAGCCAAATAGCTAGCTAGCCACCGAGCCGAGCGGCTAGCTGGCCGAGTAGATACACAGCTAGCTAGTAACTGAGCAGCTAGCTAGCTAGCTAGCTAGCAATTCAAGGTAGCTAGCTAGCTAGCTAGCTAGAATCATTTGTGTTGGATTGAATTCTTCGGAATGATTAAATGGATGTCTTCCAAAGGGTATATGGCGTTTCATCTTTTGAAATTTTTTGTCGATTTTTTTTTTCTTCCATTCATTTTAATTCCAATTAAAACTCCGATTTATTTCATTTATTTAATTTATTTCATATACTTAATTGTATTTAATTTTATTATTTTATTTGTTTGTTTATTTATTTATTTGTTTTTTCTTTCAAGGGTTCGGCTTTTTTGTTAACTGAAAAAGACTCCGCGGCCGCAATGCCTCCGACTTACTTCAAGTCCACGGAGTTCACTGACCCCAGCCAAATGCTCGTCAGTTTGCTGCTGCTGCTGCTGCTGCTGCTGCTGGTTTTTGTGCTGCTGCTGCTGCTGCTGCTGGTTTTTGTGCTGCTGCTGCTGCTGCTGCTGGTTTTTGTGCTGCTGCTGCTGCTGGGTTTGGTGCTGTTGCTGCTGGTGTTTTCTGTGCTGCTGCTGGTTTTTCTGCTGGTGCTCGTGATCTTTATGCCGTTGCTGCTTCTGTTGGATTTCGTGCTGCTGCTGTCGGCCTGTTTGCTGCTGCTGGGTGTCGTTCTGCTGCTGCTGCTGCTGAAGCGTTACTGCTGCTGCTGCGCACGGCCAGTGCGCCTTTGCTGCTGCCGGTGCCGCGTCTGCTGCCTTCACGTCGCCCACAACTTTGCGCCCAAAGCAGCTGCAGCAGCAGCGCGAACGCGCCACCCCCCCCCGCAGCAGCAGCAGCAGCAGCAGCAGCAGCAGCAGGGTGTGCGCGCAGGTGGACACGTACGGCGTTCCGCGCTACCAGGAAGCAAACCCTGCGTTTTTGACTTCGATAACATTTCCGTTTTTGTTCGGAGTGATGTACGGGGACATCGGGCACGGGGCGATAGTGCTGCTGCTGGGGCTGTTCCTGCTGCTGCGGCAGCAGCAGCTGCTGCAGCAGCGCGGGCTGCTTGCTGCCTTCGTGCCTTACCGCTACCTCCTCTCCCTCATGGGCCTTTTTGCTTTTTATGCTGGCTTTCTTTATAATGACCTTTTCGCCCTCGGGGTGGACCTTTTCGGCTCCAGGTGGACGGAGGAGGGCCACGAGCCCATCAACGGCGGCATTCGCCTCAAGCAGCTTGTAAGCTGCTGCTGCTGCTGCTGCGCTGCTGCTGTGGATCCTCGCTGCTGCTGCTCTGGACCCTCGCCGCTGCTGCTCTGGACCCTCGCCGCTGCTGCTGTGGATCCTCGCTGCTGCTGCTGTGGATCCTCGCTGCTGCTGCTGTGGATCCTCGCTGCTGCTGCTGCTGTGGATCCTCGCTGCTGCTGCTGCTGTGGACTCTCACTGCTGCCGCTGCTGTGGATTCTCGCTGGTGCTGCTGTGGATCCTCGCTGCTGCTGCTGCTGTGGATCCTCGCTGCTGCTGCTGCTGCTGCTGTGGATCCTCGCTGCTGCTGCTGCTGTGGACTCTCACTGCTGCTGCTGCTGTGGATCCTCGCTGCTGCTGCTGCTGTGGACTCTCACTGCTGCCGCTGCTGTGGATCCTCGCTGCTGCTGCTGTGGATCCTCGCTGCTGCTGCTGCTGCAGGGCGAGGACCCGTACCCGTTCGGGATAGACCCGGCGTGGAAGGGCGCGACGAACGAGCTGCTGATGGTGAACTCCGTGAAGATGAAGCTGTCGATTGCAATTGCTGTTGTGCACATGGGAGTGGGGGTGCTGCTGAAGGGGCTGAACTTGCTGTTTTTCGGGGAAGTGTTGAGTTTTTGCTTCGAGTTCGTGCCGCAGCTGCTGTTCCTGCTGCTGCTGATTGGCTACTTGAACTTCATGGTGGTGCTCAAGTGGGTGTCGCCGCGCAGCAGCAACAAGCCCAACTTGATCAGCAGCATCATCAACATGTGCATGATGGGCGAAGTGGCTCCGGAGGAGCAGCTCTATGCGCACCAGCAGACCGTCGAGCGCGTGCTGCTGCTGCTGCTGCTGCTCACCATCCCCGTCATGCTGCTCGTCAAGCCCACCGTGCTGCTCCTCCGCAGCAAACGCGCAGCAGCAGCAGCAGCGGCGGACAAGCAGCAGCAGCGCGCCGCCGCCCCCGGCCACGACGCCCTCGACGCCGCCGAAAACGGCAACGCCGCCGCTGCTGCTGCAGACGCGCCCCCGCAGCAGCAGCAGCAGCAGCAGCAGCAGCAGGAGGAACACGAAGGCGCGGGGGACTTGTTCATATTTCAAATGATCGAAACCATCGAGTTCGTGCTCGGAACTGTCTCCAATACTGCTTCTTACTTGCGGTTGTGGGCGCTTTCGCTGGCCCACCAGCAGCTGTCGCTGGTGTTCTACTCGCAGACTGTAGTGCGGGCGCTGACGCTGTCGGAAGACACTGCTGTTGTTGCTGCTGCTCTCTTTCTGGTCTTCAGCCTCTTCGCATGCATCACTTTCGGAGTTATTTTGTGCATGGATTTGCTGGAAGTGGCGCTGCATGCGCTGCGGCTGCAGTGGGTGGAGTTCCAGAACAAGTTCTACAAGGGCGACGGCCACAAGTTCGAACCCCTCGACTTCCTCCTCGTCGTCAAGAGAAAAGCAGCTTAAAACCTCAAATGAACTTCTTTTGGACTTCTTTTGCATGCAGTTTATCTCTTGAAGTTCAATCTTCCTTGCGACGGCGCAACCGCCCGCGACTTGAACTTGAACTTGAACTTGAACTTGAACTTCGGCTTGATCCGAGGCGGAAAGCGGCGCCAAAACGGGAATTCCTCCGACCAAAACTTCCCAAATTTAATTTCCTTTCTTTATTTGTGCTTTGTTCCCCGCGTTCTCGTCGAATTCGAGAGAAATTCCCAAACCGCCGATTTGAACTCCGGAGCTCGTTCCGAAAAGCTGCAGCGGAAGGAAACAACGGAAACAAAAGCAACCACGTGGAAAGCTGCATGCAAATGAATAAAAGGAATTAATTCCATTCAAATGCAAGCGAAAGTATTTCCTTTTTTGCACTTGTCTTCTTTCGAGGACCTCCGGCCGTGCAGCCCAGCAAGAGGAAAGCAGCGTAGCGAACAAGTGCGGATTTTTGAATTCTTCTCCATTTATGAATTTGCATTTGTTCCATTTTGCATCACTTTTCGTTTTTTGCATTTCTTTATCGAATTAGAAGTCCATTTGTGCATTATCTGTGCAATTCAACAACTGCTGGGCTGGGCGCGTTGTGTCGGATGCAGCTGCGGGTCTTCGGGCGAACTTGCACGGAAGTGGAGAGAGTAAACAATTTAATTGTCCAGTTGCATGCATGCATGCGCGCGTCTGCATGCATGCAAGCATGCATGCGTGCATGCGTTGTTGTTAGAAGTTTAAAGGTCCAAGTTCCAGTTTATATTTGCAAAAGTGCATGCATTTATGTGCCTTCTATGTCCAAGTTCATTTGCAGCGCAGCGCATGCAATCGAGAAACTGCAGAATGTGAATTTAATTATAAATCAAATGGCGCTTTAAAGGCACTCAAATGCATGCAAGTTCTGCACTAGTTTATTCTTCCATTAATGCAAATTGCATGCATGCAAAGGGCGTTTATTTTAATTTAATTGGAGCAAAAGTGGTCTGCAAAATTAAACCCAAGTCCTGCTGCTGCGGTTTGCATGCAAACAGACTTCTAGTGTCTCTTTCTGTGGGGCCCTGTGCGCCAACTAGACCAAATATCGCCAACTTCCTTTGCATGCATGCATGCATGCATGCATCAATCCCTACATGCATGCATGCATGCATGCATTAGTCAATGCATGCGACGTCGCATGCGTGCGTGCGCTCGCCAGTCTTCTGGGTGCGCGTACTGGTGCATGCATTAGTGAGTGCATGCATTAGTGCATGCATGCATGCGTTAGTGCATGCATCAGTGCATGCATGCATGCAGGCACTGTGCATGCATGCATGCAGGCACTGTGCATGCATGCATGCATGCACTGGTGCATGCATGCGTTGCTGCGGTTTGGGCCAAAAGCCCCCGCTGAGCGCCATTTGCAAAGAAGAGCTTTTGGCTCTGAGCGAAGGAATTGCCTCGCAGCGCTCTCGATGAGTTCCTGTTCGAGTTTAATTCTAATTATCTGCATTTGTTTATTAATAATTATAATTGTGTCTTTACTAGTTATAATTACTTCTTTATTGAATCATTTAATTCGTTTTCTAGTCAAGTCAGCTGCTTACTGCTGCCTTCACTGCAGCAGAGAGGAGTCGAGCTGCTGCTGGGGCCCCTGCTGGGCCTTTCACTAGAGTTTCCTTTGCTTTTTTTGTTATTTAGTTTGAAACTTGTTATTTAATTTGTTATTTAAAATGAATTATAAATAAATGGTGAAGAAAAACAGCAGCTTGTCCTGGGTCCATGCAGTCTGTACACCTGAACATGTGTACATGTGTTCAAGTTATCCGCCGCTAGTTGGTCGGGAGTCATTATTCGTTTGTCTTTCATTTTTTGAAACAATTCTTTTTATTTATTTATTTTTGATTTATATTTTTATTTATTTATTCTTTTTTTACTTTCTGTTTGTTTATAGTGTAGGGGCTGCGCAGATAGAAGGAGGCGCTGTTTGCTGCGCTGCTCTGCTGCTCCTGTGCTGCAGTTCCGGCAATTTCGGGAGTTTTAAAGATTTAAAATAAAAAATAAATTAAAAATATAAATCAAAAATTTTGAAAATAAATAAGTCAATCAATTTTAGGGCTATTGGGCGTGGCTCCGGGTGCCACCGCCCCAGCCGTCCGTGTGCTGCTGCTGCTGCTGCTGCTGCTGCTGCTGTGAATTTGCTTCTTGAGAGAGTTTCTGGAGATTCATTTTAGTGAAATATGAAAATAATAAACAGTTAAGTTCACATATATGTCGTTTAAAGGAGAAATCGAGAAAGATCCACTTCAAAAGCATGTGCTGCAGGCACTGGCTGCTCCAGCAGCAGCAGCAGCAGCAGCAGCAGTGGCGACGAGAGCGGTGTGTGTGCGGTTTTTCCTGGGGGTTTCTGCTGGCTGAAATGAAAATTGGATTTAGTCATTCTTTTAATTGTTTAAATTTTTTCAATTCAAGGAAAAGGGTATTCTGCCCAGGGTGTCTTCTGCTGCTGCAGCAGCGGTAGCAGCAGCAGCAGCAAGGGTTTCTTTTTCGCTCTTCCTTCTTTTCTCCTCTTTTTTTTTCAAATCTTTTCTCGCTTAATTGAATTAACCTTTTCAATTCTTTTGAGTCTCAACAGACTCAAAAAAGACGGCAAAAGGGCTTTTTTTCGAGCGCATGCAGCAGCAGCTGCTGCTCGTCGGCAGCAGCAGCAGCAGCAGCAGCAGCAGCAGCATGTTGCTTCTCGCGAGCCCCACTTAGCAAATTGCACTGCAGCAGCTGCGGGGCTTCATTCTGGGCTGGGCAGTCTGAGGCGGGTAAACTGAAAAGGCCAAAAATGGACCATTTTGAGGAGTTTTGAAGCGAAAAGACTCGAAAGTAAACAAATAAGAAGAAATATATTTATTTAAGATAAATATTTAATGATTTAAAACGAAAATTCGAAGAAAAAGTCTTTTGAAGAAGTGGCGGCGAAAACGGTGGTGGCCGCCTGTTTTCAGGTGTACGTACACCTCAGGATCGCGGCGCAGGCGGGTTTTCGCGAAATTGCGAAATCTGCGGAAGTTTGAAAAATAGAATGGCATTTGATGTTTAAATATATTTATTTGTTTTTTTGTTCAATTTCTCTTTAATTTCTTTTTTATTTCTTTTTAATTTCTTTTTGATTTCTCCATTTCTTCTTCAAAAGCTTCTTTCGAACTCCCTGGTGGCCGCGCGAGAGCCGACGGGCGGCAGGGTTCAGGGTTTAGGGTTTAGGGTTTAGGGTTTAGGGTTTAAGGTTTAGGGTGTAGGGTTTAAGGTTTAGGGTGTAGGGTTTAGGGTTTAGGGTTTAGGGTTTGGAGGGGAAGTTGTAGGGTACACTGAGCTGTGGCGCTTTTTGGCTTAGTTTAAGAAAAAATCAAAATTTGTTTTTAAAGGAAGATCCAAAAGTGTTTTAAAAACACATTTGTTTCCGAAGTTCTTCTCGACACTAGGGTTTAGGGTTTTGTCGAACCTGTTGTAGTTTGAACGAAATAATGGGAAGGAGAAATTGAACAGTTGAAATGTGAAATAAAAATAAATAAAATAAATACAATAAATAAAATAAAACGGTTTATGATGAATTATTTAATTAATGAATTAATTGATGAATTAATTCATTAATTAATTAATTAACACGCAGCAGGGCAAACGCATGCAACTTGACCAGTGGTCCTTGGGTCTTGTGCTGGCCAGTGAGGCCTGGAGCTTTCGGTTGGCCCCGACTCCGCCAAAAGTGCTGTTTTAGAAATAAAAGTGAATTAACTACAATTAAATAATTAAAATAAATAAATTAAATTGACTTTACTACATTTGATTTGCTGCTTTCCATCAATAGCACTGCAGCACGGCGCCGCAGCAGCTAGCCGGCAGCAACTGCTGCTGTGCGGCGACCGACGGCAAATAGATGCCGGTTTGACTGCCTTTTGAATTCTTTATTGCGAAATTAATTTTTAAAATAAAATTAAAACAAAATAAAAGATTTAAATGATTTAATTAATTAATTTGCTGCAAGTTTCAAGGCCGAACGGGCGCAGTCCGAAGCTGTTTGCTGTCTTCGGCAGCAGCAGCAGCCCATCGGCGGCGCCCCAGCTGCTGCTGTTCTCGCCGTCAAATATCTTCTTTTTCTTTCTCTTTTTATTATTTTTTCACTTTTGTATCTTTTTGTTTAAATTGAATCTTCAATTTGCATTTTCGTGGGCGCGGAGGCCCCGGGTGAGGCCAGGCGCCAGCCGAGGTCCTGCGCGTCGAGGCCTCCGTCTGTTTGCACTCATCTGCTGCCTTCAGCTTCAAGATCTAATTTTAAAGAAGTTTTTTTTCAAGTTTTATTTATTTTTAATTGTCTTTCAAGGAAAAGCAGCAGCAGCAGCAGCAGCAGCGCCGCAGCACAATGCGCCGGGGTCACCTCCCCAGCGACGGGTGTTCCCCCAGCCGCAGCAGCTGCTGCAGCAGCTGCAGCTACAGCTGCAGCAATAGCCGCAGCAACAGCAGCAGCAGCAGCAAGCTGCTTTTTTCAGGGCCCCTTCGGACAAGCATTTCGGAGCAAATGAACGCAAAAGATGGAGAGAAATGCAATTTATTGTCTCTTTTTGATTCTTTGTCTTTGTCAAAACGCGCAAAATGTCTTTCTGGGATTTCCGAACAAATGGAAGAAATGAAAGAAGCCAAAAAGAAGGCCCAGCAAACCCAGCGGCTCATACAAAGTCTTAAACAAGAAAAAGAAGCTGTGTGCACTTAATAATAATAATAATAATAATAATAAATAATAATTATAATAATAATAATAGTAATAATAATAATAATAGTAATAATAATAATAAAAAGGAATAAACAATAATAAAGGAAGAATGAAGGCATGCGTGCAGCAGCAGCAGCAACAGCAGCAGCAGCTTCCGTGTTGTTTTTCGCTTGCAGCTACTGCGGCAAATAAATAAAACGAAAAAGGCAAATGGATTGAAGCAAGCAGAAGGACAAGTTGCTAATCAACAGATAAACTCTCTCCAACGAAATATAAATGTAACCCTAAACCCTAAACCCTAAAACAGAGTCTTAGCAGCGCAGCACCGTGCACTCTGCGTGGCTCGAAGAGTCCGCCACGACGCTGAAAACAAAAAGCAAAGACTAATTTATTATTTATATTTATTTATATATTTACTTATTTTTATATATTTATTTATTATTTATTTATTTATTTTTTTTTTATTTATTTATTTAGTTATTTTCTTTATCAGATGTGCAGAAAGGAAAGAGAAAGAATTCAAAGAGAGCAAAAGCACTTCAGCAAAGAAGTGGAAGATATGAAAAGAGTCCGCGAAGAACTGCGCCAAAGTAAACCCTAAACCCTAAACCCTAAACCCTAAACCCTCGAGCTCGGTAGCAGCAGAAGATAGAGAGAGAGGGGAGTCAACAAAAGGGGAAGGGATTTAACAAATTGAGTTGGATTTAAATAAATATATTTTATGTTTAAACAAATACACTTAATTTAATTCTGTTGCTCTGGTGCGGATTTCTTATTTGCTGCAGCAAAAAGACAAACTGCTAGGAACTACCACTACGTAAGCTGCATCGAGGGTTTAGGGTTTGCGCTTGAAAGGGTTTAGGGTTTCAGTTAGGGCTTATGGTTTAAGCTAGCGTTTAGGGTTTAGGCTAGGGTTTAGGGTTTAAGAGTGAGGGTTTGTGGCGCTCAGTGGCTGGCGAGGAGAAACGAGTTCGCTCTGGAGACGGCGCAGGAGAAAAGGCAGGCAGAAGAAGCGAGAGTGAGGGTTTAGGGTTTAGGGTTTAGAGTCGGGCCTGAATTCTTCAAACAGGCAGGAAAGAACCGCCTTTCCGACTTTCTGCCTTTTATTTATTGTTTACTTATTCATTATTTGTTATTTATTTATCATTTAGATATTTATTTGTAATTTATTTATCTGTTTGTGAGGGTTTACAGCGACACCGCGGAGAGCAAGTCAAGGGGCTGCTCTCAGCGCTCAACAGAGAGGCGCGGCTGCAGCACGAGGAGGAGCTAAGAGTGAGCAGCAAATGCAAAAAAATAAAATAAAACTAAAAATAATTCAACTAAAATAAATGTTTTGTTAATTTATTCAATTAAAACGGCCAGCCAAAACTCAAACTGCAGACGCGCACTGCAGGAGCTGCCCATACACCCCAGGAGCTGCATGTACACCTGAAAACGGCGCTGCTGCTGCTTTCGCTCTTATTTCCTCATTTATTCTTTTGATATTTTAATATACTCCTTCTTCTTTCGTTATTTAATTCAATTCTTTCATTTTAAATCTCTTTCGGATATATTTCCTCCGCCTCCCCCAGCCCTTCTGCATGCAAGCCCACTCATCAATACACACTGTACATACACTGCACCCATACATATAAATGCTACACACATTGTGCACTGTATGTACACCCACAGCAAGCACGCCAGCAGCAGCTGCAAATAAATATCAAAAAGTATTAAATATATATATTTAAATATAAACATATTAGTTAATTAAAAGTATTTTTATTTATACAAAAGAAACGCCAACACATGCGCAGCACTCCCCAGGTGTATGTACACCCCATTGGCAGCACCCGTAAAAAGCTGCTTCGCTGCTGCATGCGTTCTTCCCATTTATATTTTGATAATGGCATTTAAACAAGTTTACATTTAAATAATGGCATTTAAATGAATTTGTATTTTAACAATGGCATTTAATTAGCTGCTGCGTTCATTTAGTTCTAATTCATTTCTCTGCTGCTGCTGCTGCTTCCACTTTGGCTGCAGCTGTCGCCGGTGCGCCGCTTCGAACCGCCCAGCAGCGCCAAAAAGCAGCCACAAACCCTAAACCCTAAACCCTAAACCCTAAACCCTTGAGTCGAGCACTGTTTAGGCGCTGTGCACGCGCGGGGCGGCGGCGCCTGCAGCAGCAGCAGCAAAATTGTCACTGCTGCAGCAGCGACATGTTTTTCTAGCAGCTGCAGCAGGTTTGCTGCTGTTGCAGTTTGCTGCTGCCTCTGTCAGCAGCCGCAGCAGCAGCAAACTGGCTGCTGCTGCAGTCTGCAGCCGCCTCCGTCAGCAGCTGCAGCAGCAGCAAACTGGTTGCTGCTGCAGTCAGCTGCTGCCTCCGTTAGCAGCTGCAGCAGCAGAAGCAGCTGCTGCAGCATTGCTCAATAAGACACAACTCCCTTTAACTGCACAGCTGGCGGGTTAGGGTTTAGTGTTTAGGGTTTACCTTTCGGGCGCCACGCAAACCCTAAACCCCAACCAAACCCTAAAGAGGAGCTCTTCTGCTGCTGCACTTTTTCAAATGGATTATGACCTTTAACATATTCATTAAAGCCACCCATGCTTCTCGAGTGCTGCTGCTGCTGCTGCTGCTGCTGCTGAGCAGCAGCAACAGCAGCAGCAGGAGCACTTCCGGCGGCACGTGCGTGCTGCTGCTCCTGTTGCTGCATATATGCAGCTCTACTTGGCCTTGCGCAGCGAACTGATGCTGCTGCTGCTGCTGCAGCAGCAGCAGCAGCAGCAACAACTGTGGAGTGTACATACACTTCAAAGCTGCAGCGGGGCTCTTTCATGAATAGCAAAAAGCCTCCCCTGCAGCCAGAGTTTGCCGGCGAGTATTTTGGGGTCTTCTCTGCTGAGGGGCCCTTGCTGCTGCTGCAGCTGCTGCTGCTGCTGCTGCAGCAGCAGCAGCTCTGCAGTTTCCCTTATTTTCGCCCTTTCCGAGGAAGATGACAGCAGCAAACGCCGAAGCGCCGGCAACACCGCTGCAGCAGCACTGCTGCCCCAGGAAAGCTCCAGTTCTTGCCGCTGCTGCTGCCGCCACCGCTGCTGCTGCTGTTGTTGCTGCTGCTGCTGCTGCTGAATGTAAGCTGAGAGGCGCTCCGCATCCTTCAGCAGCAAATCTCCCCACCCAGCCTCTAGGGGGCCCCCCCGTGGGGCCCCCCTGGGGCCTTGGGGGCCCCCGGGGCCCCCAGGGTCTTTTTGTCCCCAGGCTGGGGGCTGGGGGCCCTCCCCGAATGGGGTCATGGTGAGCAGCAGCAGCAGCAGCAGCAGCTGCTGCTGCTGATGTTGCTGCTGCTGCAGTTAGCTATGCTGAAACTGGAAACTCTTGGGGGCCCCTCGAGGCCCTGGGCAAAAGCACTGGGGCCCCCCTTGTGGTGTTTGCCTGCTGCGTTTGGGGTGTACGTACACCTCAACTGCTGCTGCTGCTGCTGGGGCTGCTGCTGCTGCAGCTGCTGCTGGGGTTGCTGCTGCTGCAGCAGGAGCGGCCTCGGGTTTTGGAAAGAGAGAAGAAGAGAAAGGAGCAGCAAAAGGGAAGGGTTTAGGTTCGGAAGGTTTCAGGTGTACATACACCTCGAGCAGGCGCAGCAGCAGCTGGGAGGCCTCTGTGGAATTAGTTTAATTTAATTTAATTTAATTTAATTAAATAAAAAGTATTTTAAACACTTTATTTTGGCAGAACGTTGAGAAAAGAAGACGGGGCGCTGCTGCCAGCAAATGCTGCTGCTGCTGCTGCGCCTTGTCGCTGCAAGACCACAAGCAGCCGCTGCTGCTGCTGTTGCCACTGCTGCTGCTGCTGCTGGAGTTGCTGCTGCTGCCGTTTTCTGTTTCGTTCTTCTTTCATTTGAATTACTTGATTGAAAATCAGAGACAAAATAAATTAAAGAATAGGCGCAGCAGCGCATCCGCTGCAGCAGCACAGACACTGCCGATACATTCGGCTGCTGCTGCTGCTGCTGCTGCTGCAGCTTCTGCTGCTGCAGCTGGATGGGACTGCGAGCTACGTCGCAAGAGTCTTCGCTTCCTGCTGCGGATTATTTCTTCGTTTCAACCTCATCTAGCGCCTGTTGCTGCAGCCGTTGCCAGCAGCAGCAAGGGTCGCCGCCGCAGCAGCAGCAACAGCAGCAGCAGCAGCAGGAGCTGCTGCGTCATCGGGCTCTGGGGCAGCCCTTGCCTCTCATCCCATCAAAGCAGCAGCAGTCGCTACTGCAGCAGCGGCAGCAGCAGCAGCAGCAGCGGCAGTTGGGGCCCCAGTCTATCTACCTGCGGCTAGCTCTCGCTTGCAGCAGCAGCAGCAGCAGCAGCGGCAGGGACCCCATCTCGAGGTGAGGGTCTTGCAGCGGCCTCTAAGTTTAGGGGCCGTCCCTCAGGTGTATACACGCCTGGGAACTGCTGCTGCTGCTGCAGCCGCAGCAGCAACAGCAACAGCAGCAGCAGCAACAGCAGCAGCAACAGCAGCAGCAGCAGCAAGATGTCCTTCTTCAGCTCCAACTCGATGGACCGGCTCGGCTCCCGCTTGGCCTCCATCGTTTCAACAGCCTCAGAGAAGGTCAAAGAAGCAGCAGAACGAACGTAAGCAGCAGCGACAGCAGCAGCAGCAGCAGCTGCTGCTGCTGCTGCAGCTGCTGCTGCAGCTGCAGCAATAGCAACAGCCATAAACAGAGTAGGAGTGTCAGCAGTAGCAGAAGCAACAGCAGTTGTAGCTCTAGTTGCAGTGGTTTCAAGGCCAGCAGCAGCAGCAGCAGCAGCAGCAGCAGCAGCAGCAGCTCGACAGCGGCAGCAGCAGAAGCAGAAGCAGCAGAAGCAATAGCAGCAGAAGCAGTTGAAGCAGCAGAAGCAGCAAAAGTAGCGTGAGCAGTGCCCATGTTCCGACTCGCAGTAGCGGCAGCAGCAGCGGCAGCAGTAGCAGCAGCAGCAGCAGCAGAAGTAGCAGCAGCAGTGCTCATGTCACGACTAGCAGCGGCAGCAGCAATAGCAGCAGAAGTATTAACAGCAGCAATAGCAGCAGAAGTATTAGAAGCAGCAGCAGCAGCAGCAACAGCAGCAGCAGGAGCAGCGCCAGCAGTACACATATCACGAGCAGCAGCAGCAGCGGCAGAAGCAGCGGCGCCAGCAGCACACATATCACGAGCAGCAGCAGCAGCAGCAGCAGCAGACTGAAGCGCCTGCAGCTTTGCTGCTGCAGCTGAGGTGTACGTACACCTGGGGTGCTGCTGTTGCGCTGCTGTTTTCGGGCGCATTTGATCCGTTTGAAGCGCATTGGATGAATTAATTTAATTAAATTAATTAAATTAAATTAAATTGAATTAGTTTAATTAATTTAATTGAATTAATTAATTAATTAATTAATTGTTTCGTTTTCTCCCGCAGACTCACCAAAGAAAGCCCCCTCGAGAAAAACCTCCGCGAGGCCCTCAGCGACAAAAACTGGGGATGTGCAAATTCGGTGTTGGCGGATATTGCAAAGGCAGCTCACAATTAGTAAAAAATAAATAAATAAATAATAAATAATAAATAAATAATAAATAAATTAATTAATTAATAATAGATGAATAATAATAATTGGAGGGGTAAGGAATGGTATTTGCTGTAATGGGGTTTTCTTAATTCGCTTCTATGTGCTCTATTTCTCGTTTTCTGTTTTGTTTGCATGCATGCCTTTCTGTGCATGCATTTATTATTTATTTATTTATTTATTTATTTATTTATTTATCTATTTATTTATATTCTTTGCAAAACTGGACTTGTATTTCTTGTCTGAGTGGACGCCTTGAACATTTGAAGGTGTTTGAATTTTCGGATTTATTTTCATTTTTCATCAACTTCGAATCTTTTTTCGCATTTTAATTTCAATTTAATTAAATATTCATTTTTTTAATTTCAATTTACTTTCAAAATTGTCCATTTCGAATTTATTTCGCTTTCTTGCCGTTCATGTTCGCCGTGCATGCGTTTTGAGGTGTATGTACACCTCAGCCTCGACTTCCCGGTGGTCTCGCGGACTGTCTGGGCAGCTATTTCGGAGGCTCCAAAGCGATGGCGGAGAATATTTAAAGTAATTCAAATCAAAATAATTAATTAACAGTTTATAAGTTATGCATTTAATGGAGTTTAATTATAAAAAATCAATTCAGCTGCAGAGTCAGAGCTGCAAGGAAGCTGCGGTGCATCCGCAGCAGCAGCAGCACCTGGCTGCTGCTACTGCTGCTGCTGCTGCAGCCAATACTGTCGCTGCTGCTGTGCTGTCGCTGCTGCTGCTGCTGTTGCTAGTGCTGTGGCTTCTGCTAGTGCTCCTAGTGCTGCTACGAGTGCTGCTCCTAATGCCGTGGCTGCTGCTAGCAGTGCTACTGTCGCTGCTGTTGCTGCTGCTGTTGTCGCTGCTGCTGCTGCAGTCTTTGCTACTGTTGCTGCTGCTGCTGCTGCTGCTTTCCCGTTGAGTGCTGCCTGCTGCTTGCAGCGCATTCGTTCTTCTTGAAGCGGCCCTTTGTCTCGCGCAGAGTAAAGTCTATTAAGCAAAATAAATTAATTTAAAATAATTATAATTAATTAATTAACTGATTAATTATTTGTTTTCAGGGACTCACTGTGCTGGAATATATGCTAAAAAATGGCCCCGAGAGATTTGCCGAAGACGCCAAAGACAGAAGTTATTTGCTGAAGTCTTTGCAGAGCTTTAGCTGGACAGAAGAGGGGCGGGACAAGGGCGCTGGCAGTAATTAATTAATTAATTAATTAATTCAATTAATTAATTAATTAATTGAATTAATTATTTAGTTCAGTCAGAGCTTCAAGTTGCTGCGGCGGCAGGGCCGGAGAGGGCTTCTGGCTGCTGCTGCGCGCCGCCCACTTGCTGCGGGATCCCCAGCAGCAGCAGCAGCAGCAGCAGCAGGAGGTGCTTGTTTGCTGCAGTCCGCGAGAAGGCCACGTTGTGCACCACTTTGGTGTTTGATGCTGCTGAGCTGCAAGCAGCAAGAGAAGCAGCAGCAAAAAACAAAGACAAATACATTGGCATATCTTCTGCTTCCTCGATGCCCTCCCGCAGCAGCAGCAGCAGCAGCAGCAGCAGCAGCGGCAGGCATGTGCCCTCTATAGGGTTCGGCAGCAACACAAGGCCTCCCCCGCAAAATAAAGACCTGTACGCCTTGCCTCCACCCAGGGTTCAGACTTAGGGTATGGGGTTTAGGGTTTAGGGTTTAGGGTTTAGGGTTTGTGCTGCGCTGCAGGTCGTGCCGCAGCAGCAAAGGTGAAGAGGCGGGCCCCCACAGGGAGGCCCACCGTTCTGCTGCCAGCAAAAGTTCTGGGGGGGCCCCCGGGAAGCGGGAGGCCCCCAAGAAGAGCGACAGCAGCAAAGGAGGCCCCCAGCAGCAGCAGCAGCAGCAGCAGCAGCAGCAGCAGTCTCACGTGTACGTACACCCCGCGGGTCCCGGGGCCTAGAGCTTTCCTTTGCAGCAACAAATGAAGTTATTATTAATCAACTAATTAATTAATTGATGAACTAATTGATTAATTAATTGATTAATTATTTAATTTAATTAATTAGATTAATTAATTAATTAATTGACAGACGCACAGCCATACCTTGCTTGCTCAAACTGCCGCCTGCTGCTCCTGCTGCTGCTCCTGCTGCTGCTGCTGCTGCTGCTGCTGGGGTGTGCAGGCAGCAGGCAGACCTGCTGGGCTTCGACAGTCCCCCTTTGGAGCCCCTGGGGGCCCCGGGGGGCCCCCTGCCTTTTGCTTCGGGTACTTGGAAAGGATTTAATCTTTTTGTTGCAGTTTGATTTATATTTTGTTTATTCTAATTTATTTGCCACTTTTAATTTAATTTAATTTAATTTAATTTAATTTCTTCGAATCTCTTTTAGACTTGGGCCTTTGGGGGCGCCTGTGCGCATGCACGCAGGCCAGAGCGTCTGGGCAGAGCCTGCTGCTGCTGCTGCTGCTGCTGCTCCTGCTGCAGCAGCGGGAGAGGGGCACGCAGGGTCCAGCAGCAGCAGCTTTTCTTCTCTGCTGCCTCCCCCACCGCCAGGAGGGAGGGGCCCCCTGGGGGCCCCTTCTGGGAGTCTCAGTGATGATTTATTTGGGGGTTTTCAGGCAGCAGCACCTGCTGCTGCACCTGCTGCTGCTGCTGCTGCTGCTCCTGCTGCAGGCAGCAACTCCCTGGATGCCGTGGCTGCTGCCTTCGCTGCCCCCGCAGCCCCCGCGCCTGCTGCAGCAGCAGCACAATGGACCAATGGTCAGTTTTGCCACTGCAGCAGCAACTGGCTCCTCGGCTGCAGCTGCCGCAGCAGCTGCTGCTGCTGCTGCCGCACGCTTAGCTCTTTTGCCACCGCACGATCCACAGCTCACCCTCTGCTGCTGCTGCTGCTGCTGCTGCTCCTCTCAGGGGGTTCTCCTGCTGCTGCTGGTGTCTCCAACTCCCTCGAAAGCTTCGGGGGCTTTCAACAAGCAAATACAGGTTAGACGCCACCCGAACTTAAAAAACCAGGGGGCCCCCGGGGGCCCCCGGGGGGCCCCCGAGGCCCCCCGGGGGGCTACCGAGGGGCCCCCTGGGGGCCCCTCGGGGCCCCCAGGGGCCCCAGAACACCCCCGGTTCTTTTTCTTGTGCCTGCGGGCTTCGTGGGGGCCCCTTGGGGGCCCCTTTGAGAGCACCTTGGGGGCCCCTCTGGGGGCCCCTTGGGGCCCCCTTTGGGGGCCCCAAGGGGGGCCCTCGGGGGGCCCCTGGGGCCCTCTAGCGGAGGTGTTTAGGGGGCCCCCGTTTTGTCCATTTAGTTCAGAGTTAGTTTTATTGATGGCTGTGGTGGATTTGTTTATTTTGCTGCAGGGACCCCACAGTCTGGAGCTGCGTCGCAGCCTGCTGCTGTAGCTGCTGCTGCACCGCAGCAGCAGCCGTGGCAACAGCCATTCAGTATGGGCAGCAGCAGCAGCAGTAACAATAACAACGCGTTTTCGCGGCCATTTAGCCTCAGCAGCAGCAACCCTAGCAGCAGCAGCGGAGCTCCCCAGCCATTTAGTCTCAGCTCGAGCAGCAGCATTTCGGCGCAGCCTTTCCCAGCAAGCAGCAGCAGCAGCAGCAGCAGCAGCACGCAGCAGCGCATGACGGGCGCCGGGGCCTCGGCGCAGGAGCCCTTCACATTGGGGGGCATGGGCGGGCAGCCTTGGCAGCAGCAGCAGCCGCTGCAGCAGTTCCAGCAGCAGCCGCTGCAGCAGTTCCAGCAGCAGCAGTTGCAGCAGTTCCAGCAGCAGCAGCTGCAGAAACTCCAGCAGCAGCAGCTGCAGCGGCTCCAGCAGCAGCAGCAGCTGCAGCAGCAGCAAGTTGCGTCCTCCTTTCCTACAGTGCAGCCCAGCCTCTTCTAGGGCCCCAAAAGAGGCCTGAAAAGCTCCCAGTGAATTTTCTCGCAGCAGCAGCAGCAGCAGCAGCAACTGCTGCTGCTGCCGCTGCAGCGCTGCTTCCCCTTAGCTGCCCACGCATGCTCCTTAGCAGCTGCTGCAGAAGCTGTTGCAGCAGCAGCAGGAGCGACATTCCTCCTGCACTAGGTGCAGCAGCCGTGCTGCTGCTGCAGCCGCTGCTGCTGCAGTTGCTGCTGCTGCTGCAGCCGCTGCAGCTTAGCCCAAGCTGGGGTGTACGTACACCCGACTTGTGCTGCTTCTTCAGTTTGGTCAGGCGCAGTTCTGCGTTTTTCCATTTGCGTTTATTTCTCTTCATTTATATTTACTTATCATTTATAATTATTATTTATAATTATTATTTACAATTATTATTTATAATTATTATTTATATTTACAGACTCTGGTTTCTACGTCTTACAGGGCAGAACAAAACACTCTTAGGTGCGGCTAGCATTTGCTGCTGCTGCTGCTGCAGCTGCTGCATCTGCTGCAGCAGCTGCTGCATCCGCAGCAGCAGCTGCTGCATCTGCTGTTGCTGCTACCGTAACTCCTACTCGCGCTGCTACTGACGCGCTGCTGCTGCTACTACTAAAGCGCTGCTGCTGCTACTGCTAAAGCGCTGCTGCTGCTGCTGCTGCTGCGGTGTGTACAGACTGTGTCTGCTGCTGCCTATCTATCTTTCAGCATAGGTGGATATCTTTTGAATCTTCTTTTTTCGAATTGAATTAAATTGAAATAACTTTTTAATTTTCCTTTTTAAAATTAAATTGAGGTTCTTCTCTCCCTGTCCACCAATTCAAAAACTCGGCAGCTCGCCGCTGCTGCTGCAGCAGCGCGCGCAGCAGCGCCCCGGGGGCAGCAGAACTCTGCTGCTGCCGCTGCTGCTGCTGCTGCTGCTGCGGGCGCCGTTACTGCCGCCGCCGCTGCTGCTGCTGCTGCTGCTGCAGCAGCTAAGAGTACAGCAGCACGGCGCTCATCATGACGCAAATGATCCCCAGGAACTCCAGAAATCCCATTCCAATTAAAGTGTAAGTGAAAAGGTCTTCTTTAATTGAAGGGTTTCGAGCTGTTCCCGAAACTAAAGCAGCAAAAAGGGATCCGATCCCCTGGGCAACTCCCCCCACAGACATCAGCGCCACAGCAGCAGACAGCGTCGCCACAGACGCCTCGTGACGCACCGCGCCCACCTGCAGCAGCAGCAGCAGCAGCAGCACAGGCAGCAGCAGCAGCGGGAGGCGTCTTGGTGAGCATGTCTTGTTTGTCTTGGCAGCAGAAGCAGCAAGTGGGGAGGGGGAAAGGGGAGAGAAATTGGGGGAGCAGCAAATGGGACAGGTGCAGCAAATGGGCAGCAGCAAACACTGGCAAAGGAGCTGCCGCAGCACGAGGGGCACCAGCGCGACACAAAAAAGAAGAAAATGAATTTAAATGAAGTGAAATCGATGCTGCGCAGCGAGCAGCAGCAGCAGCCCCTGGTGTACGTACACGCGGGGCCTGCGCGGCTGCGCGCAGTTTCAGCAGCAGCACATTAAAATATTTGGAACTGCAACAGCAAAAGGGTTTTCAAGGGGTTTGGAGCTGGCGGCTCACCGGGCTGCCGCCGCTGCTGCTGCTGCTGCTGCTGCTCAGGGGAGTCAAGGCGGCGGCGGGCCAGCGGGCGCAGGGGCCCTGAGCCACCGCGCTGTGCCGCTGCAGCAACGGAGCCGTCGAAAGAGCCCGAAAGGCCAAAGTGGGACAAAAAGAGCCGCAAAAAGAGCTGCAAAAGGGGAAGCTGGGGGCGGCTTTGGGTGCAGCAAGAGCTGCTGCTGCGGCCCGGGAGCAGGCGCCGCCGGGCACCAGAGCCAGCCTTGCGGGGGCAAAGAACGCCATTTGCTGCTCTTTTTCGATATTTTACTCCAATTTTATCAATTTAATTCCTTTAAAACGCCTCTAGACGCAAACAAACCCGCAAACCGACACGCAGCCGCTGCTGCGCTGCTGCGCACAGCAGCAGCAGCAGCCCCGCCCCACCCGAGACAGCCTCGAGCCTCGCTGCTGCTCACCGCCCCTTTTGCTGCTGAAATTCATTTCCCTTTTTGCTGCTCAATTTTTTTCTTCTTTTGCTGCTGCTGCTCTCCTTATTCTGCTGCCAACCCCTCTAGGACTCCCTCTCCACACCTAGCCAGCCTGCAGTAGGCCCGATGCTCCTAGAGCAGCAGCACCAGCAGCAGGAGCAGCGGCGGCAGCAGCAGCAGCAGCGTAAACGTGGAGAGTAAAAAGGAGGTTTTGGTTTTATTTGATCATGTCTTCATAAAAATTGAAACTTACCTTTAATTACCCTTTGTTTCAATTTGCTTCCTTTGCTCTCACACGCGCTGTCTTGCTGCTGCTGCGCTGCAGCACCACAGTACCTGCAGCAGAAAAACAAATAATTATTAATTTTAATTTCTTTCCATTTGCTGCTGCAGCTGACAGTGGACAGCCTGGGGTGTATGTCCATCTCCCGGAGCGACAGCTCGCAAGTCTCAATTCGAAATAAAGTACTTTTGCACTTTTGTTTCTGCTGTGGAGTTCAAATTAAAAATAAGTTACTTATTGCAGAAACTTGTGAATAAAGGCCTGCAGCAAAAGCAGTTGAAGGCGCATGCGCCAATACGGGAGTGCCCATCCATGCGCCCTCTGCTGCTTTTGCTGCTGCTGCTTTTGCTCCTGCTGCTTTTGCTCCTGCTGCTGCTTATTTGCCAGATTCCAGCTGCAAATGCATGCCACGAATCCCAAATATCATATATGTCAAGGTACAGTCTGCTGCTGTCCTGCTGCGGCAGCTCCGCAAAGAAGCAAATAAAAATCAAAAGAAGTCCCGAGTCTCGGGGCTGCCCGCTGCTGCTGCTGCGCTCCTCTAGTGCTGCTGTTGCTATTTGTGGCTTTTGAAAGCCTCAGCTGCTGCTCTTCGGTGCTGCTGCTGACGGCCGAGCTTGTTTGCTGCTGCAGTCATTAAGCCCTAATTTCCTAGTTAGTGGGCTGAGGCAATTCGCAAGAACTCCCGCAGTGGGAAAATGAAGTTCTTTGGTTTCAAACAAAAGAACAAATCTTGGCTAAGACACACTAAAGTTGAAGAGGACTTCACTTTGCATGCAGCAGATGTCCTTATTAAGGAGCTGCTGCTCTTGCAATCATTTTCTTGATAGTGGTAGTATGGCTGTTTCTGCTTCTGAAGTGGCATTTGGGTCTGTCTTTGGCATTATAATTGAGCAGCATTATAAAAAGATAGGCAATGAAAAAATAATAAAAATAGTAACAAAGGGCCTTTAGCACCTCTTTTTAGGAAAAGAGAGAACTTCCAGCCAAGAAGATTCAACTCGGGTGTGAGGGGCCACGAGCGCCAGCGAAGTGCTAGACAGGGCACAAAACTTCTCTTAAGAATTGGGACAAGTTAGTTGTAACTTGATTAAATTATACTAGGCTGTGATGGGCTGAAAGAGCCCTCCTGCTTTGCTGCAGTGTGCAGCACTGCAGCGGCGACAAGGAATGGTCTTCAGGACCACAGAGTCTGTAGATTGAGGTGATAAGCAGCAGCAACTGTCCCGCAGGTGTACTTGATCTTTGGATGATCAGGTCTTTCAGGACCTGCAGCTAGGCCTGGGCTTTGCATAGTGAGCTACGCTCAGCTTGGCTTCTATGTGCTTCTTCTTTTATGGGATTAATCCTAACAAAATTGGCCATTTCCATATCAAATTGATTTAAAAACCATCATTTTCGGGTCCGAGTTTTGAGTTGATGCCTCTGTTTGCTCCTGAGTGCTTCTTCAGCCCCGCTTGACTTTCAGCACTGCTTTCCAGCCCAAGGCGCAGCGCCAACTGCAGACTGGACCCAACCAGCAAAGAAATAGTTTTTCCATGAAAATTATTTCTAGTTAAAAGGTAAAAGTACGCGCTTTGAATTATATTGCCTTGAAGGCCATTTCAGGGCTGCATTGTACTAGTGCGCACTACAGTTTGAAGCAGACAACACACATGAAGCTGCAATGCGCAGCAAGGCCATGCAAGGAGGGAGCAACATAAAGAAGAGTAGAGAGGCGCTTTTTAGGAAAACAAAACTAGAGGGAGGGCATCTGATGCTTCTTTGCATGCAAAAGGTGTCTTTAAACACCAGCGTTATATGTGAGCCTAAGCAGACTGAACGAAAGAGGCATACTAGCCCAGCTGAGCCTACCTCATATTTTGCCCACAGGCACGGTGCTTACATGGAGAGCCAAAGCTGACTACAAGGCTATTTTCTCACGAGCTTCAACAGGACAAAGTGCATTACGAAAAGCTCATGAGCTACTGCCCCTTGCGGCGAACCAAACATCTGGTGTTTTTTCTGGTGTTCTTTCTGGCGGTTTTAATGATTAGGGTAGCGTAGGTGCGCAGGGGTGTAAGTTTTACACTGCCTCTTGTGCCACTGGCCTCTGCTGTCTTGCCCTTAGTACTGGTTGCCGATGACTGACTTTTGCAATGACTTAGCCCAGGGCTTTTGCCTGGGCCACAAAAGCTGCATGCAGGGGTCTTCACAGTCCGTCTCTGTACAGCTTACGAGGAAAAGGATACCACACCAAGCTGCACTCTGCGGCGCCGCCTAGGCATTTGTCCAGCGTAAACACCGAATTATATTTCCATTTGAAGGCTATTCTGTATACAGCTATATATACTCCTTATTCAAAGCATAAAGTTTACTTATTCTTCCTGAAATTGTGACAAGCTAAACAGGCACAAAGCGCCAATGCACTTCTTGCAGTTTGCCTTTAATTTTGACTCATTCTCTGAAAAAAAGGCATCGAGGGCTTGAGTTCCGTAGCTCATAACAAATACACAATAAAATATTTCCAACGAGGACAAGGAGGAGAGCTCATGAAAATTTCTGTTTGACTTCTTCCCTTCTAACATTCCAAACAGAATTATTTTCCTCTTTCAGTGTCCACTGTGTTTTGCCTCTGGCCAAAATGTTGCTGGCGTGCACAAAAGAGCATTAAGCATGCTGCAAATGCGTTGAAAAATGAACAAGCTTCAGCATTTTGGATTCAGTGATTTGCTAGTGCAGGAAAGTCCACCCGCTCAGTCACTTCAAGTTTTCCGGGTGAATCAATCCATACTAACACAATGCTAAGAACTTCAGTTTAGGGGGTGCATGAGGGCTATTGGAACGATCAAACAACAAGCATCTTGGCAATCTGCTGCGGCAACACGTTAACTCTGCAAAAGCGAGGAGTGTGCCACCTGTAGGCCCCTTTGCCACCTTTTAAGAGCTTCGCAGCCTTGAAGTGCTTCTTGTGGAGCACTTCTTATGCGGCATCATTCAAGTAGCTGCTTCAACGGCTCGAGCCATTGCTGGGTCTGTTGCCTCTCTAAGTCCTGACAGTGAAGGGCTGGGCTTTAAAGGAGTCGGCGGGGTTTCCAGTCTTAAGATAGTCGTAAACAAGCCAAAAATAGGCCAATAAAAACTCAGGGGATGCCGAAGGCATCAGACGCCACGTTTTCAACAAATTATGAAAGTGCTTCAGCCCCAAAGCGTGGGAAGATAGCTTGAGTAGGCCCACAGCTTGAGGCTAGCCTTCCTAGCCGGGCAAGTGCGGCATCATAGTAGAGTGTAAGAGAGTCTTTGGTCTGATCTCAAGGCTTATACGCATATTACTTACTAGAGTTCAGGTTCGCATATGCTGTCAGTAGCGCCACTTCAAATCCTGAAGCCTGCGATTGGGATGTTAGTATACACTGATTCTTTGGCCTCCCACCAGCACTCTTAGTGCGCAATCAAGTTATTCTATTAGAGGCCCTGGTCTGCTCTGACCTCCAGGTAGATAATAATTTGTAGGCTTACACTTGAACATGCCAAAAGCGCACTACATGCAAGCTTCTTGTACCAAGCAGATGAGTCCAAGGTCATTTAAAAAGCAAAAGTGCTTTTGTAGAGCAGGCACTGCAGACCGTCTTTTAACACTGCTTAAAAGATAAATCCCAACCTCAATCATGTTCGTTTAGTGGTTTTTCTTTCTTTGCATTTCCACTGAATTCGTTCAAGATTAAATCGTGTAGTGGATCTATGGGGAGTGGCAAAGGCACGGCTGCGTTGCCCAGCCCCTTTAAAAGGCATATCTTTGAGAAGCCACTAGTAAATTGCGCATATATTTTGAACAGAGACACTCCCGAAAGCAAAAAGCACTTGTTTTTAGATGCCACTCAAACTGGCATGCAGCCAAACAAATCTGCAGTGAAGGTGTTCAGTGTGTCGGCCAGGCCTCAAATTTGCATGCTGGCTGTTGTAGGACAAAGATTGGCCTAAATACTAGCTACTAAGACCTAGAGAAAAGTAAAAGTTAATCGTAAATGGTAGATTTTGGCCTAAGCCGTGCAAGGCAAGTGTGCGAACCAAACCTGAAGTAAGGAAACCATCGAAGTACCCAGGCGCAGCGATAATGCAATGACCCCCCGGAGGTCTAAATTAGCAAAAAAGCATTTAATATGTTCTATTGAAGCGACAGCTGCGAAAGCCGTAGGACTCATTTCTATATTGCTGCAATATGTTTTGCAAAATGCAGAGAGGCAGCAGACCGCGCCCCAGTCGCTGAAAAGCCCGCGTTTATCCACAGCAAAAATGCCTCACTCATTTAATGAAAGGGACTTTCAAGAATTACAGAAGTTTCACAAACGTACATTTGTTTTGAGGTGTATGCAGAAACACCCCCCCGTGGACTTGCAAGCTGGCTGAGGCGGTATCGGGCATGCATTCAAACTGGGCTGATCCGACGGCGCTACATTGCAGATTTGCGTCTCGGAAAGAAAATATACTTCATTTTTATTGTTTATTCCTGCTGAGACACTTCGTCTGCTCAATCTGCGTCGAAGATGCAGATCACTGTCACTGACGCCGGTACGTTTCCGTGTGTGTACTGCAGCGCAGGAAACCACAGAAACACCGCCCGCCTCTGCCCCTTTTGCTTTCTTTAGGACTGTTACGGCCTTCGGACTACAAATAATTAATTTATTTGTGTTTTAGAGGCCCCCAGGTGGGCGCTTTCCGCGCCTCTCCGCAGCACTGCCCTGCCTCGCCGCTCGCCACTCCCAAACGCAACTTGAATTCTGCACTGTTTGCGTCCCTCTCTTGTGTTTGCTGGGACTTTGGCGCTGCAGACGGCCAGGCTTTTGCCCTGGATCTCACGGGGGAGGCGGAAGTCTCTGCGTTGAAAGACATAATTTCGGTGGAGTTGAACATACCCCCAGAACACCAGCGGATTCTTCTAGATGGCCGGCCCCTGCCGTGCGTCTTTGTCTCACTTTCTCTCGCAATTAAAAGGGTTTTTTGCGCCATTTTAATGGACTTTTGCTCCATTTTATATTTGCTTTTGGAGGCCTTTGTCTGCAGGAGCAGTGCGCGCACTCTGGCCGACGCTGGCGTGGCCGAGGGAGCCATGCTCCTTGTCTTCAACGACAGCGCAGCAGCAGCAGCAGCAGCAGCAACCGGCGCTGCCGCAGCTGCTGCTGCGCCTGCTGCTAATGCGCAGCGCCTGCAGCAGCAGCAGCAGCAGCAGCTGAGGCCAGCACCCCAGGCGCTGCAGCGCCAGCAGCAGCGAGGCCTCCTGCCCCTGGACTTCTCCAGTAAGCAGCAAGAGGGACTTAGACTATTTTCCATTCTTCAAAATCAAGTGCATGCAAATAAAGCATTTCGGCAGCAGCAGCAGCAGCAGCAAATATCCTTTTTTTCATTTAAAAAATTAAATAAAAATATATTTGCTGCTTCGCATGCAGGCATAGTTGTGGACGGCGGCCGCGTTGCCCAGTTCCCAGCAGGGGGGGGCCCGGGCCCCCCCCGCAGCCCTGCTGCTGCTTCTGCTGCTGCTCCTGCAGCAGCTTCAGCAGCAGCAGCAGCAGTTGGCCCTGCTGCGCGTCTAGCTGCCCCGGATGTTGCTGCTCACCTGAAGCTGCTGGTGAGGCGGCGGGCCGAAGAAGCAGTTGCTGCTGCTGTTGCTGATGCTGCTTCTTTAGCTCTAATTAGGGCCCACAATCCTGTTTTAGGAGAAGCCATAAAGGCAGCAGTTGACGAGAGACAGCAGCAGCAGCAGCAGCAGCAACAGGGAGAGCCAGGCCCAGCGTTCACGCGGCTCATGGACACCCTTGAAAAAGAATACACAAACCAAATCAAAGTGAGCTGCTGTTGCTGCTGCCGTCGTTGCCGCTGCTGCTGCTGCTGTTGCTGCTTGCTGTTGCTGCTGCCGTTGCTGTTGCTGCTGCCGCTGCTGCTTCCGTTGCAGCTGCTGTTGCTGCTGCCGTTGCTGCTGCTGCCGTTGTTGCTGCTGCTGCTGCTAGTGCTGCTGCTGCAGCAGCAAGGTGAGCGCAGCACTTGTGGGCAGGCCGAAGACGAGCGGTGGCGGCGGATGGCAGCGATTCAGCGGGATCCTCTGTCTGCTGAGGCCCAGAGAATGCTTTTGGAAGATCTGCAGCAAGAAAGAATAAATGAAAACTATTCAATGGCTCGCGAGCACCTGCCGGAGGGTTTCGGGTCGGTGTGCATGCTGTACGTACACCTGGAGATCAACGGGGTGGCGTGCAAAGCTTTCGTCGACAGCGGCGCGCAACAGTCCATTTTATCTCTCGCTTTCGCGGAAAAATGTTCTTTATCTTCTTTAATTGACAAAAGATTCGCAGGACTCGCGCTGGGAGTGGGCAGGGCCCCCATTATTGGCCGCGTTCATCTTGCACCCCTCAAGCTCGGCAGCAAGTTCTGCCCCTGCAGCTTCATCGTTCTCGAAGACTCCAAAATGCAAATGCTGCTGGGCCTCGACATGCTCAAGAGGTACCAAATGGTCATCGACTTGAAGAAAAACGTCCTCGTCGTCGAAGGTCTTACCCCAAGCCCTAAACCCTAAACCCTAGTCCCAAACCCTAAACTCTAGTCCCAAACCCTAAACCCTCGCACGCGGCTCTCAAGCCTCGAAGCCCCAAACTCTCAGCCCGGCTCTTCGGCTTTGAATCCCTCAACCCGCAAACGCGGCTCTTAAAGCTTGAAACCCTAAGCCCTAAACCGTGAAATGCGGCTCTTAAGCCTTGAAACCCTAAACCCTGAAACGCGGCTCTTAAGCCTTGAAACCCTAAACCCGAAACCGCAGCTCGAGGGAAAATGCAAACTCGCAAACCCCAGACATCAAACCCCAAACCCCCGGCTTTCGAAAACCAGCTAGCTGTGCCTTTTTTGCTGCTGCACTTTAGCTGCGAATGCACTCGAGGCATCTGCGCAGCTCTGCAGCAGCAGCAGCAGCAGCAGCGGCCGCTCAGAGTCTCAGCTTCTTCAGCTCGCGACTAGCTAGCCAGTCAGCTAGCTAGCTAGCTAGCTAGCTACCTAGCTAGCTGGGGCCTTGCTGCTGCTGCGCTTTGCTTCTTGCTGCAGGAGAAGAAATTCCTTTTCTTTCGGAAGCTCAAATTGATAAAGGACTTTTTGGAACTGGCGAGAGCCATGAAGAGGTGGAGGCAGCAGCAGCAAAAACAGAAACAGAAAACGGGGCGAAGTAGCAGCTGCGAACAGCAGCTGCAACAGCAGCTACAGTTGCAGCTGCAACTGCAGCAGCTGCAGCAGCAGCAAGGGTGGTAGCTGCAACTGCAGCGGCAGCTGCAACAGCAGCTACAGTTGCAGCTGCAACTGCAGCAGAGGCTGCAGCAGCAGCAGGAGTGGCAGCTGAAACTGCAGCAGCAGCTGCAGCAGCAGATGCAGTAGCAGCTACAGTGGCAGCTGAAATTACAGCAGCAGCTGTAGCAGCAGCTACAGTGGCAGTTGCAATTGCAGCCGCTGCTGCAGCAGCGGCAACTGCTCTTGCTCTTGCTGCAGCGCGGCGCTGCGCTGCGAGGGAGGAAAGGGACGTCTGTGGCTTGGGGTGCTTATCTGATGTCAGCAGCAGCAGCAGTTGCTGCATCTTCTGCTGCTGCTGCTGCTGCTGCTGCTTTGTTGGTTTGATCCTTCGCATCGTGGCCCGCGGCCCGCGACTGCAGCTTTTGCTGCTACTCTCCTTGTGTTGTTTTGGGGCCTTTTGTTGCTGCATTTTTGTCTTTATTTGCTTTTTTCCTTTCTTCCGGTTCGAATTCAACTCTCGTTTTGCCTTGCACATGCTGCTGCTGTTGCTGCTGCTGCTGCTGCACTGGAGGTGGTTCAGCTGAGGCGTTCTCGACTCCACCCAACAGCAGCAGCCGCAACAGCAGCAGCAGCAGCAAGGCGCAGCTGGCTTGTGTTTGCGCTGCGCCGCGTTAGCCTTATTGATTTGTTTCGCGGCGCTGTATGGACAAAAGCACTTATCAAATCTACATTTTGACGGGCTTATGGAAATCTTCGCAAATATTATTATAATTCCATTATAATGCTTTAATATTATTCCATTATAATGCCTTTACAACTTTACAATCAAAGTTAATGAGCTATTCAGAGGCGCACTCGAAGGCACTTCCTCAAATTCTTGAATTTCAGAAAACCGGAAAGAAGTGGAGAGCCTCTGCTGAATTGTTCGAGTGAATTCATTTTGTATTTGAAATCAAATTGAATTAATTGCAGTTCATTTTTGTCTTTCTGTTTCGGTTCAATTCTGTTTTCCTCGCGCTGCCTCGGGCTTGGCGGGGAGCAGCAAACAGCGAAATTTTCTTAACTCCCGTTTGCAATTATTTGTACTTTTCTTCATTTCTTCATTCCTTTTAGTTTATATCCCTGAAATATATAGTTTTCCGCATTTATTTGCCTCTTTTTACTTATATTTACAGCCCTTCACTGCTAGTTTCGAAGCTTAGCAGCGAACTTAAGCTAGGCCACCCAAGTCGACTCTCACATGATGCACACACCCGGATTACCTCAAAAAGGAACGCAAAATCTCAATATTCAGTTTAAAAACAGAAGAAGGATGGAAACTTTATCAGTAAATAAGACAGTTCACGAAAGAAAGTGACAAATTCAAACTAAAAGGACGAATCGGATTGGGAAACCATTCCCTTCTAAGTCTAGTTTTGGGATGGCAGTGCTCGTGTGCCCTCATCTTCCTTCTTTTCTTTTCCAAAAGGCAAAATAATAATTGCAATAAAGTGCTCCAACGTATTTTTAGTTATACGTGGTTGCATGCAGCCCTTGTGCAACGAGAAATGCATTTGGTGAATAAGAAATGCATCTATTTTCAAATACTCAAGTGTAAGTGGCCTCGCGAGAATTGCAAATAAGCAGAACTCTTCTGCAACTCTTCAGCCTCCGTCTTCTCTCAAACTTTCCACTCAATAATATTTCCAATTTGTGAACTTCCCACGCATTTCAGGCGGGTCGTTAGTGGTGAACCAAACAGTATGAAAAGTCCAGTGCGTCCAGTTCATGCTGGAGATATTAATTACAAGATTTCAAACAAAGATTGATGGAAATACATTTTATGCACCAAAGAATATCTCTTGGTTCAAGGTTCGGCCAAATGCACGAGACACAGAAAGGCAAAAGCACAAGAAGTCTTCACCGCCACCGACGAACACAAAGAGTGGCTGTGAAAGCCGCCTATGATGAAAAATGTGCAAAATTGAAAACCCTAAAAGCCACAGCAATCCAAATTGATGCAAAAAATGCAGATAATTCTCGTTTTCAGCTTGTCTAAGGCGAAAAGCTGTTGCGCCGTGAGCCGTAAGCAGCTTGTGTGCTGGTTTGCACAATGTAAACGCGGCACTGGGTTCATCAGTTGCATGCATTTACAATGTTATTACATTAGAATAATATACTTATTATATTCTGCGCATTATTTCCTGTTTTCGCAGCATTAAGTCCCCAGCCGCTGTTTGACGTGACCATTACTGTAGTATTGGCAGGCCGGCGGCAACAGGAGCAAATGTGCGAACGCAAGAGTCTCTCCAGTTGACCAACGGACCACTGGAAATTGAATAAATGTTGTTTTCCAATTGATTACGTATCAAAGTTCAGAAATGTGACTCAAAAGCAGTCTCGCTGGGAGCAGGCCTGGCACGGTCATTTGCCCTGGCGTAGCCCAGCCCAGCGTCTCACAGCTCCGGTTCACCTGGTGCTTTTGGCGGCTTTTTCGGGAATTTTTTCGCAAATAAACTCCTGTCTTAGGCTTAAAAGTTAAATTGTATCTCGACTGAATGGTGTATTTCTCCTTTTTTGCACTACTTTTTCTCAAAGCGTGAGACGCCACGCATCCTCATGGTGAGAGCCACTGCGGCTCAGGCACCACCCACCCCGCTGCAAAGCAACCGCTGGTTGCCCTCCCCTGCCTGTTTCTGTCCCACTTTCATGTTTCAAATGTTGTTTCATTTCTTCTCTAGTTTTGATTCGTTGTTTTAAAGTTAAATTGCCTTCTAGGTCACGGTAATGAGGAGCCTCAAGCTGCTCTTTTTGGCCGGCTCGGCCGTCTTCTTTCGAGACACGCAGGGGGCGCAGGGGTCCTCCGGACCCCCGCCGTCAACTGGTAGGCGTTGTTTATCTCTTTTTGGAACTTAAATTGTTTTTTAAGTCGAGTTTGAAAAAGTTTAAAAGCACAACGGGTTGTTTGGCGCGTGTTGTGTGTGCTGGGTGGGCAGTCGCTGCAGCAAGTATCGATTGCACAACTGCAATGAACGGCATCCGGGCTGAAGTTGGCTTGGCCCCGCTGCAGCTCGGAACTACGGAGCAATCCAAATTGCCTCTAAAAGCTGAAGAAAGCCCCAATTTAGCCTTCAGTACGGCCGTTTGCACCGCCGCTAGAGCCGTAAGAAAAGCACGGCGTGTGGTGGCCACCAGTGGCCTGTTTTGGGGCTCAGAAGTGGCCACAGATGGACCAAACAATGGTTTAATTTGAAGACACAAAGGAGGGCAAATTTTGCAGGGTCAATGGGTCCCAGAGGCGCAGAATAGGGCAGGTTCCCCCGCGCCATACTTCTGTTTCTTGTGTGTGGACGCGTGCTCGCCTGTGGGGGTGTGCATGCACCCGTGGATGTGCTTTTTTTTTTGGGGGCTTTCAGGGGACGCTGCCTTCCACCGCTTCGACCTCACTGGATGGGAACTTCGCCATTTCGATACAGAAGGGGTCCAATGGTGACTGTGCAACTGCAGTGAAGCACTGGAGAGAAGGCTTCGATCTGTTCAAGGGTTTGCCTCCGCCTTATTCGGCAGAGGCGCCGGTGTACAAGACTTCTCAGGCCCAGTCCTTTGTAGCCCTCTTCGCCCCCCACGAGGCCGGCAAGGTGGACTGCGCATTCTTCATTTGCCCGGAAAGCACTGACAGCGGCACCAAGCAGGAGGAAATCAAAGCTCTTCTCTGCGTCACTTCGCCCAAGTCGCTGAAGGACGGCGTGGCTCCTTTCGAGTAAGGCTTCGACACGAGGGTTTAGGGACAGAGTTTAGGATTTGGGATTGTACGCAGTTGCAGTAAGCAGCCAGGCGAGCGAGAAAGGAGGTCCGGATCCAACGATTTGGGGATTTGCACTTATTATTGGGATTATTGGAGTTGTTGGGGTTATTATTTTATGGGAATTATTGGAGGTTTAGAGGGTTTGCTGGCGTATGGGTTCACAGGCAAAAGCAGTGGGATAAGATCGCAGCGGGCCTCGTGGGCGGCGCCTCTGCAGCGGTGCCAACTTTCCTTGTTTTTGCCGTCACGGCTGTTGGAGTTGCGCTGTTTTGAGCGTTTTCTTCGTGCATGCAATTGCAAAAGGGGCAAATTGAGGGCAGATTGCACCAGTCACACCCGTGTACAGAGTATATCTGCAAGGATGCATGCACCCGTGTTTCTGTAGGCGCTGCAACGCGCCGATCCGACCTGGGGAAGCCCAGCGTCGCTCAGAGAAGTTCGGGGCAGTTTGAAAAAGAAACTGCAGTAATAAGGAAAGCACTTTGTTGGGAGTCGGCTGCGGTGGCCGCTTAAACACGTTATGAACAGAACAGCTGTTTATGAACTGGCCGTGGGCTTCCGAGGCATGCAGTTCTCCAGGGAAACGAAACAGTAGAGTTCAAAACCCGGCAGTTGCTGGAGTGCCTTTTACAGGAGTAAATTAGGAGAAGTGGAACATTTGCTAACTTGTGGAGGGAATGTGCGGGCGCGGGAATGATAAGAATGTGTAGGTAGACCCGAGAAATAGTGGGGGAAGCGGAGTGCATGAGTTGTGTATGAGAGTGGCGCCGGTGTTACAGCCGCGAACTGGCATGGGGAGGAATATTTGTAGCGGAAGAAGTTTGGTAGAGGGAAAATTTGGGGGGAATAGTGTTGAGGGTGGAGGAAACAGGTGGAGGTTTGTTAGGGAATAAGGGTGGAGTATTTGGATGATAGCTGGGACGAAGTAAGAGAATAAACCTGTGTGTTATTTGGAGTAATGGGGCGGGGAGTGTGTGGCGGCAACATTACGTAGCAGCAGTGGGAAGTTTGGATTTGGATGTACTTGCTTCTCCTTAGTTTGCTGCTTTTCTTTCTGAATGCAGTGGAAAAGATGGTCCATAGGGGCAGAGAAAGAGAGTAGTTAGTTGAATTCTCACAAATGCCACTCTTTTTTGAAGTGCAAGTGAGTAATGGATGGAACAAAAAGGGGGCATCACAAAGACAACAGTAGCGGAAAGACAGCTGCAGCCTGTTTGCAGCAGCTGATGTTGTAGCGTATGGTGAAGCTGCTGCAGTTGCCGCCATTCGAGCAGCTCCTGGAGCAGCAAGTGATGTTGTTTTCTATTGCAGCACCTGCTGGTGCTGCCAGACGCAACCTCACCCGGGCCAAAGGAACAATCTGCTTTTGAAATGGCTTTTAAATACATTGCAGGGACAAGTTTAATTCCCCGTTTATTCGTGTTTGCGGAAACGTATCTCTGCTCCTGGAACATTGAACTTGAACGGGAAAGCTAGGACGCAAGATACGCGCCACCCTGGCATTTTAAGCCTTAAGAGGGAATACTGCAACCAATGCAACTATTTCATGTTGCATAAATAAATCAATAAAGATATTAAAGTAAGTTTTCGAAAAGTTATTGCTCTTGAAACTTCTCTTGTTGCTTAGGATGCACCGGCGTGCTGTTGCACCAGTGGACCGGTGCACTCGCAGCCCGTGTTTGCAGATAGCGAGTAAAACACTTTTCACGGAACAAACTGCATGTAATTAATAAAATAAACCTAATTTGTTTCAATACTGTTGGGTCTATAAAAGGGTCATGTCGTGCAAAACATGCATTGTGCAACACCAGTGAGCCCAGCAAAAGCTCAAGGTCACCTGCGTACTACAAGGGGCACGGTGAATTCCTTAACTTGGGCTCCTCACTCCCACTTGAATGAATGAAACTTGATTAATTTAAATGATTAAATTTCCTTTAGAACAATATTAAGCTTCTTTTGGGTGCTTAGCAGCAACTGTGCGGCCGGGATGACACCCCACACAGAGCCGAACAGCAGCAGCCACGACTGCAGCGCCGTTTGTGAACAGTGAGGCGCAGAAGTATTTGGCAGCAAACCTTCGCTGTGATCCATTAGGATTAGCCAGGATATCTACTTGTTTTTCTTTTTGACAGAAACTGAGTCAGTGTCTCAGAATAGACGCACTGCAGCAGCAGCACCAGCAGCAGCAGCAGCAGCAGCAACAGCATTCCACTTGCACGCGTAGAGAACTTGGCCCTGCCTCTGCCTGCGGCAGTCACTTCATCTTGTCGAGCCCTTACTTATGTCTTATATGTTGCCCTTGAGGCTGTCCAACTGTTTCACCCTGACATTCCCTCATAGCTCCCGTCCAAAGCGGCAGCAGCAGGCGCTGCGGACTGCAGCGCTACTGGCTTTCCTCTCTGCCCCCTTCAGGCTTTTTCTTTTTCTTTGTTACATCCTTTCTAAAGTCCCAGCATGGTGAGCTGAGCCCTCAAAACGCGGCATTTCCCTAGTTGCTGTGCAGTCCGCAGTGGTATCAGCAGCAGCTGCTCCTGCAGCAGCTGCTGCTGCAGCAGCAGCTGCTGCAGCAGAAGCTGCTGCAGATTCTGCAACAGCAGAAGCTGCTGCAGCTGCTCCTGAAGTTGCTTTAGCTGCTGGGGCCTCTCACCAACGCGGCCAGCAGGGCTTGCAAAGTCTGTGCCTCTCCTTGCAGTAGCTGCTGCTGTGTGCTGCTCCTGCTGCGCTGCAGCTGCCATTCCCTCTGGGTTACCTGCAGCAGCAGCAGCCATGCGTCCCGGAGCCCGTGGACTGGGAGGCGGCTGCGAAGCAGTACTCGGCCTACAGGGCCCCATCCCAGCAGCAGCAGCAGCAGCAGCAGCAGCAGCCGGTGGAGGACTACGGGGGGAAAAGGAAGGGAGCGAAGAAGGGATCGAAAGATATGTCCGATGAAGCAGCCGAGACGGATGACGTAGCGCCTCCAGGTTTGCTGCTTTCTTTTGTTTTGCTGCTCAAAGTTTCTATATTTTTCATCTATTTATTTAATTTCTTTTTTCCTTTGCCTCCCTTTTCCTTTTTTATTGCAAATTTGCCACTCTGCAGCAGTTGCATGCCCTGTGGAGCTGTGGGAATTTGCCAAGAGCTGAAAGCTTGAATTTCCAGTTCAGGATCTAGGGTTTAGGGTTTAGGGTTTAGGGTTTAGGTTTTGTGTTGCATGCAGATGCCCCCGCCGCAGAAGAAGCCACAGATGACTTGGGCTATTTGCTGAGACAGGCAGATCAAAACCCTTATTCGTATGAGGCTTTACAAGCTCTAGTGTGTGCTTTGTCCAGCGCTGTGAGCCACCCACAAGCCCTAAACCCTAAACCCTGAACCCTAAACCCTACACCCTACATCCTAAACCCTAAATCCTAAACCCTAAACCCTAAACCCTAAACCCTAAACCCTTCACTCGTAAGCTATCCTACCACCGCCTCTTTGTCCCTCTCTCGCTGCTGCTGCTGCTGCTGCTGCCTACGAATATGCTTTCTCCTTCATTTGCCGTTTTTTAATTTTTTAATTTTTTAATTTTCTTCGCCTTGCTGCCTTTGCTGCCCCGCTGCGGGCTGTACATACACCGCAGGGCCCCGACAGACTCGAAGATTATGAACAAGCTCTTGAAAGATTTCTTTTTGAATTTCCTCTTCTCTTTGGCTACTGGAAGAAATTCGCAAGGCTGCAGTGCGACCCCAAGGGGGACTGGAACAAGTGCGAGGAGGTCTGCAACCGCTGCTGCTGCTGCTGCTGCTGCTGCTGCTGCTGCTGATGCCTCTGCTGCTCCTGCTGGTCGTGGTGCTGCTGCTGCTGATGCTGCTGGTGGTTCTGCTGCTGCTAGTGCTGCTGGTGCTGGTTCTGCTGGTGGTGCTGCTGCTGGTGCTGCTGGTGCTGCTGCTGCTGGTGGTGCTGCTGGTGGGGTGCTGGTGGTGCTGCTGGTGCTGCTGCTGTTGCTGCCGCAAGAGGGGATACGGCTACAGTTGAGGCTCTGCTCTGCCTTTGGACTGCCACAGCTGCTGCTGCTGCCATTCCACAGAAGTTATTGCTTCTTCTGCCGCAGCTGCTTTGAGTGCTGCGTTGTGCTTTCGCATCTCCCGCTGGTGCTGCCCCTTCTGCTGCTGCTACTGGTGCTGCTGCTACTACTGCTCCTGCTGCTGCTGCTGCTGCTACTGCTCCTGCTGCTGCTGCTGCTGCTGCACCTCGAGTTGCAGTGTGCGATACAATGGCTTAGGTTTTTGAACGCTCGCTGGAATTCGTGGGACACAATCCCCTCATTTGGGCTGCTTACTTCGAATGGATGAAAGACTTCGCCTGCTTGCCGCCGCACTTAGTCCGTGCCAGAATGGACCAGGCCATACAGCACGTAAGCCCTAAACCCTAAACCCTAAACGCTAAACCCTAAACCCTAAACAGTAAAACCTAAGCGCTTAACCCTAAACGTAGATCTTAATTTTAGGACCTTGTACTTCTAAACTCTCGCTCACAGGGCAGAAGCCACAGACTGTAAAATTGCGCTAACGTAGGGTTTGCAGTTGCTGCTGCTCGTGCTGTTGCTGCTGTTGCTGCTGCTGGACATCATTAGTCACAGGAGTATAAGAGCCTGACCTTCCTGAGGGGGAACTTGCAGCCGTATGGAAGAGCAGAGGCCCCACTGCGCAGCTCCCTACTTAACTACAGTTGCTGCTGCTGCACCTGCTGCTGCTGGACCTCCTGCTGCTGCTGCGGCTGCTGCTTGCGCAGGCCGGCGCCCACTGGAAGGCCTGGCCGTTGTGGCAGTGCATATTGGACTGGGAAGAAGAGGAGCTGTTTGCTGCTAGGGAAAAGATTGCTGCAGCAGAACTCGGGGCCCCTATCGAAGAGGCTCTGGGGTGTACAGACACTGCAGATGGGGAAAACCCACCCAAAGAGGGCCTTAATAGTCTTCTTGAAACAAACCGGCAGCGCATGCAAACAGCGCTGCAAAGGGTAAGACACAGATGCCGTTGCTGCTGCTGCTGCTGCTGCTGCTGCTGCAAGGACCGGAGTGCCGCCCTTTTGGGGGCCCTGCCGTTGCTGCCAGGCAACCATTCACGTCTGTCGCTGCTGCTGCTGCTGCTGCTGCTGCTGCTGCTGCTGCGCAGCTGCGGCTGCTGTACTCGCAGCTGCTGCGCACCCCGCTGGAGTCCTCGGACTTAGGCTGGGAAAGGCTAAAGACACTTGTCGAGAGAGGCAGCCGCAGCAGCATAAAGAGCCGAAGGGGCCCCCGGCCTGGGCTCGCAGCAGATGGGGGCCTTTGTGGGGATGGGGGCCCCATAAAGGGGGCCTCCACTTTGTTTGATGTCTATGACCTCCTGGGGGATGAGCTGCTGCCGCAGCTGCTGCAGCGGCTGCAGCAGCAGAAAAGCGCCACACTCGAGGAGCTGCAGCTCCCTGCAGAAGCAGACCACCCAACAGAACAGCCTGTTGCTGCAGACCCTGCTGCAGCACGAGCAGCAATCAAAGAAAGAGGTAATTCCTACTGCTGCTGCTGCTGCTGCTGCTTCGGGTCAGATGCTTCTGATGGCTCGGCGGGGTTTGGCTTTGTGAACAATCTTTCTTGTAATTCTAGTTTAGGCTGCTGCTTGGTTCCTCTGCTGCTGCTGCTGCTGCTGCTATTGGCACTGCTGCTGCTAGAGCTGCTACTGCTACTACTGCTACTGCGACTACTACTACTGCTGCTGATGCTGCTGCTACTGTTGTTGCTGCTCCCGCTGCTCAGTCTCCACTCTGGCCTCTCTCAACGCTGTGGATCGGGAGTGCTGGCAGCTGCTGCGAGAAACTCTTGATACTACTCTGGAGCAGGCAGCAATGCGACTGCCCTTCGAGCGGGCGGTGAGCAGCAGCAGCAGCAGCAGCAGCAGCAGCAACAGCGACACCGGCAACAACACAAGCAGTAGCAGCAAGTGCAGCCCAACCACAACTAGCTGCAAAGTTAAGGATCTCTGTCGCGGCCCAGTCGCTAGTGGCGCTCCCAACAGCGGCAGCAGCAATGGAGAGACCAGCAACGTCAGCAACAGCAGCAGCAGCAGCACCAGCAGCAGCGAAGTTCGATCTCCTGCTTGTTTGGCTGCAGACGCACCGCTGGTTTTGGCACCCAGACCCTCTCGCTCCTCGCCGCCTTCAGGCCTGGAGGGAATATCTGGACTTTGAGGAAAAGCATGTAACTCCGAGGACCTAAGCCCTAAACCCTAAACCCTCGGCGCTAGACCCTAAACCCTAAAGCGCTAACCCTAAACCCTCAGCCCTAGAAGCTAAACCCTCAGTCCTAAGCCCTCAGGCCCCGACGCCTAAAGCCTTATAGGAAAAAACTGCCCCCAGTGGCCTCCAGCGAGGCTGTGCACTCATTATGGCCCTGCGGACAGCAGCGGCTGCAGCAGCAGCTGCAGCACCAGCAGCTGCCTTAGCAGCAGCTGCGGTAGCAGCAGCAGCCGTTAAAATGCAGCACTGTGTTTGCGCACGCGCCATTGCGATTAGTCTGTTGTTGTTGCCGCTGCTGCTGCTGCAAGCATTGCTGTTTCTGCCGGCTCCGCCTTTATCCCTTTTGCTGTTTCTGCTGCTGTCTACGCCGCCGCTGCTGCTGCTGCTGCGTTCGTCATTTTGCGGTGCTGCTGCTGCGTGCCCTGTCGCCCCTATAACGTTACTGCTGCCGCTGCTGCTGCTGCTGCTGCTGTTGCTGCTGCTGTTGCTGCAGGCCCCTGGGCGCCTAGAACTTCTGCAGCGCCGCTGCCTAGAAGTCTGCGCCTCTTACCCAGAGTTCTGGCTGCGCTGCGCGCGGCAGCGGCGGCAGCAAGGACCTGAAGAAGCACTAAAGCTGCTGGAGTTTGGAGCCACCAAGATCTTGAAAAGAAGGTATGTCAGCCTTAGTGCATGCGCTGCTGCTGCTGCTGCTGCTGCTGCTGCTGCGTGTTTGACGGCGTCTGGGGCTTGCTGGCTGGCAAATGGCACCGTAGAGTAGGTGCAGCAGACAAGGAGCAGCAACTGCAGCAAAGGGTAGTGCGGCTCTTCTAGTTGCGCGCAAAAGAGCAAAAGATCGTTAAGAGCCACAGCAGCAGCAGATACCACTCCCGCTGCTCCTGTGGGGCCCTCAGTGCCCAAGAAGCCCTCCTTGTCTGCTGCTTTGACTCAAAGAGGACAAATAAGCCTTTGAAATTTTGCATTGTGTTTGCTGCCTGTCTTTGGAGGAAACAAAAGCTAAAAGTTTGAGTTTTAGAGGCCTCTCGGGTGTACGTACACCCCAGCTGCGTGTCTGGGGTGTCTCCGGCCGCGCAGCTGCAGCAGAGCTGCTGCTGTGCGGCCTCTGCTGTGCGGCCTCGTTTTGCTGCTAATGCTTTGCTGCTGCTTCTTGCTGCGCCGCGCTTCGCTTGTGCATGCAGAAGAGACATGGCCTGCGTCTATGCCTCCCAGCTGGAGGTCTGCGGCCGCCTCAAAGAAGCAGCAGAAGAGTTTGAGGCCCTCGTCAGGTGAGCTGCTGCCCGCGTGCAGCGGCAGCAGCAGCAACAGCAGCAGCCGCTGCAGCTGAGCCGCTGCAACCCAAGTGCTGCACGCACAGCAAGGCCAGCCCCCACAAAGCAACCAGCAGCAGCCGCTGCTGCTGCAGCGCCTTCGAAGCTGCCCCGCTGCCCCAGCTACGGGCGAAAGTGCTGCCACAGCAGCAGCAGCAGCTGCTGCTGCTGCAGCTGCTGCTGCAGCTGCTGCTGCTGCTGCAGCAGACACAGAAGGTATGCGTGCTTGTGCATGTCAGGCCCCCACTAGATGCTGCATCAATGAAGTACTTCATGGCATTGCTGCAGTTCTCGCTGCGGCACCCGCCCGACACTGCTCCAGACGGCCTCAGCCACGCGCTGCTGCTGCTGCAGGAAGCAGCAGAAAAGTACAGAGACAATGCGCCCTGCGCTGAGCTTCTGCACCTTTACAGGGCCAAACTCGTTGCATTTCACAGCGGAGACACCAAGCAGGCGCTGTGAGACCAGCTGCTGCTGCTGCTGCTGCTGCTGCTGCTGTTGCTGCTGCTGCAGCTGCCGTGGTGTTGCTGCTGCTTTTGTGGTGGGGGCCCTGGTGGTAGAACTAAGGCAGAAAACGGTTCAGAGCAGCAGCAGCAAGAGTAATGCAGCAAGAGCAGCAGCACGAGAAGGAACGACAGATACAGTAGCAGTGGGAGCAGCAGCATATTCGAAAGCAGCAGCAGCTGCAGCAGCGTTCGGGGATTCGTTCTATGTGTTTGCTGCAGCTCAATTCTTGCAAGAGCCAGAGAGGCTCTCCCCAAAAGCCTTCCACTTCTGCTGCTGCAGCTGCGGCTGCAGCAGCAGCTGCATGCAGGAAACCCACAAAAGATCCTGGCTGCGTGCAAGCCGCTTTTGGCCGATGTCCTCTCTAACCCAGATGTCAGAAATCCTTAAAAGGAGGCCTTAAACCCTCAGCCTCTGAAAGCCTAAACCCTAGCTCTAAACCCTAAACCCTAATTCTCCAGACCGCAGCCACTGCCCAGACTGCCGAAACCCTAGGGTTTAGGTTTTTCTGCAGCTTTTGGGGTTTAGCGGGGGGCCCTCAGGAGGCAGCAAAGCCCTGACGCAAGCGGCTCACACAGATGCCCAAATCGGAAACCCCAAACCCTAAACCCTAAACCCTAAACCCTAAACCCTAAACCCTAAACCCTAAACCCTAAACACTTCAGCGCATTCTGGCGTCTGCTGCAGGCTGACGTGTGGCTGCGGTGGCAAGTGCTGAAGCTGCAGATCCATTTTTGCGAATTTTACGCGGCACCCACTGAGGTGCTTTACGCAGCCAAAGTGAGTCCCAAGACCTAAACCCTAAACCCTAAACCCTAAACCCTAAATTCTAAACCCTGACCAAAGCTTGCGGAAACACAAAAGAACTGCGGGGTGGTTGCACTGGCAACTATCAGCGGACCCTGTGGGCGCTGCAGTAGCAGATGCTGCAGCAGCAAACCGCACCATAAACCGCTGCTGCTGCTGCTGTTTCTGAGATGCAGGAAGCAGCATCAGCGTTTCTGGAGAAACATCGGGAAGAAGTTGCTGCACTTGCTGCTGCAGCTGAGCTGCGGAGGCTGCCGCCGCAGCTGCTGCTGCCGTATGGAGACAAGGAGGCTGAAGGCGCTGCTGCACAAGGAGCAGCAGCACCAGCAGCAGACTGGTGCAGCAGCGACGCGCAGGCAAACGCAGAGGTTAGTGTCTCAAGTAAACACATGCTACTTTCTGCTCCTGGTGCTGCAGCAGCAGCAGCAGCACGAGCTGCAGCAGATCCCCTGCTGCCGCGGCTACTAGACTGGCCGCTGCACCCCACATCAGCAGGAGCAGCCAGCCGTGCCAGCAGCACGGATTGCTGCAGCAGGTGCTGGAGCTGCAACAGCAGCTACCGCGGAGACGGCTGCAGCAGCGGCAGCAGCACGATAAACTCGAGGCTTTCTCCTTCTGTGCTTCTTGCAACTGACAGTGGGCTGCTGCAGTGTACGCACAGATCAAGCCCCTGCGGCCCAGCAGCAGCAGCAGCAGCAGCACATGGTGCTGCTGCATGCAGACTTCGCAAAGCGCCCCTCTCGCCGTCACCCAAGCGCGAGACCCCAGGAACAGCAGCAGCAGCTGCTGCTGCAGAGTCCCCAGTGTGGCCGTGGCTTGGTGATGCGGCAATTCCTGAAGTCTTTGCCTCCCCTCCAATGTCTTCGGCAGCAGAAACAGCAGCAGATGCAGCAGCAGCAGCAGCAGCAACCGAAGCATGGCACCCGGCATCTCCTGTTACAGCAGCTATGACGGCCTGCAGGACTCCTGCTGCTTTTGCTGCTCTTTACAGCAATGTTGCTGCCTTCTATTATTCTGGCTCTCCTCTGTCTTCACCAGGCCCCTTATTCCTTCCTCCCTCTGAGGATCTGCAGCAGCAGCAGCAGCAGAAGCAGCAACAGCAGCAGCAACAGGCTGCGGCCACCTCAACTGGAGATGCAGGGAAGGCAGCTTCTTGCTCCGGCGGAGGACAGCAGCAGCAGCAACTCCCGCAAATTCCAGGGCCTGCGCTTCAGCCAACTAATGCACCGCAGCAGCAACTGCTGAAGCAGCTGCAGCATTTGGGCCTGCAGCAGCCAGAACACAACAGGCTGGCCCAGCAGCAACCGCTGCCAAAGCAGCAACTGCAGCAACAGCACGCTGCTCAGGCGGAACTCGACATTGAAGAACAACAGGGGATGAATCTGCTGAGAGGCCTGCAGGATGAGCCGCTAAAAGACCAGCTGCAGCAGCAACTGCTGCTGCAGCAGCAGCCCGAAGAGCAGCTCCCGCTGCAGCAGCAGGCTGAGGCTCTTGCGCAGGGCCAAATACGCAGCCAACAAGAGCCTCTGGCCTTAACTATGAATTCAATCTCCCGCAGCAGCGAAAGACAAGCAGCATATGACACAACAGCAGCTGCTGCAGCTGCGCAGCCGCTGATATTCAATGCAGCAGGGCTCCACCACCAACCCCCGTCCTGCAGCAGCAGCAGCAGTAGCAGCTGCTGCTGCAGCCCTCAGTCCAGCCTACCAAGCCCCGCAAACAACAGCAGGTGTAGCAGAAGCCGCAGCAACAGCAGCAGAAGCAGCAGCAGCCCGAAACGCACCAGCGCTTTGTGCCCCGTAGGGGCAGCTGTTTTGTCTCCTGAGCTCTCCCCAACTCCAGCTGCTTCTCTGTCTCCCTCATCTGCAGCAGGAGAAGCAGAAGCAGCTGCAGCAGAAGCAGAAGCCGTTGCGTCAGCAGCCTCCGTTGCCGCTGGCCAAGAAGGAGGGGCCCCCTTGGGCACTGCAGCAGCAGCAGCAACAGCAGCAGCAGCAGCAGCAGCCTCGTGCCCACAGCAGCAGCTGCAGCAGCAGAGCGAAATCGGAGGCAGCGCCCCCATGTCTTCCTCAACAGTTAGCGGCTGCACAGCTTCAACAGCAGCATCAACTTTCGCGGGAGCCTCTGAAGCAGCAGCAGCAGAAGAAGAGGCAGCAGCAGACGCAGCGGCAGCAGGAGCTGCTCCGCTGCTGCTCTCTCTGAAGCAGCTGGTCGGGAGGCACATTGCGGAAGCAGGCAAAGGCCTTTCTTTCATGCGCTGCTTCTCTTTACATAATCTCAGATTTGCTTTGGAGTGTGGGGCCCTTTCTGCTGCTTGTCCGGTGCCTCTTGCTTCGCTGCGGCTTGCAGAAGTTGCTGCTGCTCTCTGCAGAGAGGCTGCGGCGACTGCTGCTGCTGCAGCTGCAGCAGCAGCAGCAGGGAGTGCTTGGGGGCGTGGGGGCACCTGCGGCGCAGCAGGACCCACCTTGTCGGCAGTCACGGCGGCCACAGCAGCAGCAGCAGCAGCAGCAAAAAGGACGGTGCGGCTGTCGGCCTTCCTGCCCGGCCTTGAGGCGCTGCAGCAAGACTGGCTTTCATTTGCTGCTGCTCGTGGCTTCATTTTCTCCCTTTGTGATTTGCTGCAAATCCACTCGGAAGTTGCTTTCCTAGCTGTTAGGTACATGGGTTGGTTGCTGCTGGAGTGGCTGCAGTGGCAGCCGCCACCGGACGTGCTGTTCCCTGCTGCTGCTGCAGCTGCAGCAGGTGCTGCTGCTGGCTCCGCAGCAGCAGACAGCCACAAAACGCAACCAGCAGCGCAGCAGCAGCGAGACGAAAGAAAAATGGCAGCTGACAGAGCTCGGGTGGCCCGTGTGTTGTGGGGAGTTTCTCCGCTTCCGCTAGGCGCCGCTGCTGCTGCTGCTGCTGCAGGAAGTGCGGGAAGCAGCAGCAGCCGCAGCAAAATAAGCTTCAGCATCAAGACCAGCCAGCCAAACCTGCACCCCCTGCCAGTGCTGCAGAGACTTGCATGCCTCTGCACATCTTTGGCGCTGCGGCAAGTTGAAATAACTCCTGGCTTTGACACGCGGCAGCTGGTAGCAAGAGCAACAACGGAGTACATGCAGCAGCGGAAGGCTAGGAAGCAGGCTGCTGCTGCTGCTGCAGCAGCAGCAGCAGCGGAAACGCTGATGGCCGCCAACGCAAGGCGACACAAGCACGAAAAACACAAGCCGCACCAGCGCCGGGCGCAGCAGCAGCAGCAGCGACAGCAGCTGCAAAGGCTTAAGCTGCAGCAAGAGCAGCGGCAGCTCTTCGCAACTGCTGCGCAGCTCCCGCTGCTGCAGCATGTATGCGACCCACGCCACTGTCCTTCTATCTGCAGCGAGCTACAGCGGCTCGGGGAGCAACTGCAGCAGACACAGCAGCAGCAGCAGCAACTGCTGCACGACCAGCTGCTGCTGCAGCACGACGACTCCCTGCCTACCGTCTGGCTGCCTTTTCCCCTTACTGGCTGGCTGGAGCTGTACGCTTGGGGCTGCATCAGCAACTTCAACCCAAGGCCTAAAGCAGCAGCAGCAGCAGCAGCAGCGGCAGCAGCAGCAGCAGCCTGTGGGGAAGCAGTGTCGGATGCAGCTCTCGACGACGGAGATATCGCATCCCAAGCCAGCAGCAGCAATTTGCTGCTGTGGCTGCTGGAAGCATTGAAGCTACGCAGCAGCAAGTATGGGGCTGGATGGATGCAGCTGCAGCCGGGGGCATGCAGCAGCTGCTGCTGCAGCGGCAGCTGCACGGGACGTAGCGTTCAAAGCAGCAGCAGCAGCAGCCACAGCAGCAGCAGCAGTAGCAGCAGCAGCAACAAGTCCTCATCACCGGAAGAAATCACGCCAGATTGCAACGGGGAGGAGCAACATGGGGGCATTTTGGCACAGTCGGAGCAGCAGCAGCAAGCAGTTGCTGCTGCAGCTGGCTTCACCATCCCGCTGCTGCTTCCGTCGCTGCTGCCGACAGAAGAAAGGACAGACCTTAAGGGAGGCCGCCGTCTGCCGCAGCTGCTGCTGCAGCTGCTGGTGTGTTCGCCCCACCCTGCTTCAGTGTTTTTGCCCCCTTCGGTGCACGCAATTGGCGTGTTGCAGCTGCTGCTGCACAGCTACCCCAGCTCCAACAGCAGCAAACTGCAGCAGCTGCTGCGTGCTGTCGTTGGACACATGCTGCTGCAGCAGGCCGCTGCTGCGCTGCAACCCATCGCTGCTGCTATCGCCCTTGCTGCTGCTCCTCGAAACAGCAAGTGCAGCAAGTGCGGCTGCTGCTGCCCGCTGCCCTTGCCGGTGCAACATACTTTGCTGCAGCTGCTGCAACAGGAGGCGCTTAGCACGCTTCCATCAAGTGTCTCTACGGCGCGGCGTGCTGCAGCAGTAGCGCCGCAAGAGGAGGAGCTTGCAGCAGCAGCTGCAGCAGCTGCTGCTGCTGCGAAGGGAGATAGCAGCAACAGCACCAAAAGGAAAAGATGGGCAATGGACAGCAGCACTTCAGTTACTCCCGGCTGCTCTCCCAGCAAAACGTTGGAGCTAACATCCACCCGCGCTGCAGTTGCTGCTGCAGGGGAGGATCAGCAGCAGCAAAAGGGCAGCAGCAGCAAACGGACATCAGCGCATATTTTGATCACTGCTGAAAACAGCCCCTACCCAAACTACGCTCGTGCGAGGAGCCAGGCGCCTTGCAGCAATGGAGGCACTCCTGCGCTGGCAGCGGGAGCAGCAGCAGCAGCAGCAGCAGGAACTGCACAGATCTGGCAGTATAGATCCAGCCCCTTCTCTCCTTGCGCCTGCTGGAGTGTCACTGCAGCTCTGCGCAATGATGCTGCTGCTGGGCTCTACTCCACACAGTCCCCCTGCTCCTGCTCGCTGCAGGCCGCAACCAACACCAGCAGCAGCAAGGGCAGCTACAGCAGCAGCAACGGCAGCAGCAGCAACAGCAGCAGCAGCAGCAGCAATGAGAGCCGCAACGGCATTGGCCTTGGACAACAGGCTGCAGAAGCAGCACATCGGCCTAGGCGACCCAGGCGTTGGGATGTGGAAGCCCCGACGCAAGCAACTTGAGGTGTATGTACACCCCAGCGTGCTGCTGCGCGCTGACTTCTGCTGCTCTGCGCTTTCCGCCGCCGCAGCTGTTAAGCTATAAGATTTGGCAGCAGCTGGAAAGGAGCAGCAGCTTCGGGCCAGAAGAAATGCACGATTAGCAGCAGCAGCGGTGCCAGCAGCAGAATGGCGTGCTCGTTGGCGAGCTGCAGCAACTGAAGCAGCTGCAGCAAACCCAGCAGCAGCAGCAGCAGCAAAGAAAGGGGTAGTGAATTCGACTAGTGGGTTCTGATGCTGCTGCTGCTGCTGCGTGTGGTGCTGCTGTTCAGGCGTGGCAGCAACAAGCCTATCAGCAGCAGCTGCAGCAACAATACGCAGCCCTAGGCTTCGACTGTTCCCAACTGTATAATTGCTACAGTGGAGCTATGCAGCAGCAGCAGCGGCAGCAGATGATGCTGGCAGCAGCATACGGGCAGCAGCAAATGGACAGCACCAGCAGCCTTGGAGGCTGGACGGCAAGCAATGCAGCAGCAGCAGCATCTACAGCAGCATCATCAGCGGCCTCGTGCCCGTCTGGCAGCGCCTTTTGATTTTTATTGCTTCTATTTTATAACAACATTATCTTTTATTCCTCTTTTTCATTAATATTTTATTTGTGTATTTCCATTAATATTATCTTTTATTTCTGTATTTCCAGTTCGTTCCTTCCCTTTTGTTGTTTTCGCCTTTCTGCAGCTTTTCGGAACAGCTGCCTAGACACTGCGCAGCTGCAGCAGCTGCTGCCTTTGCCTTTCGTTTCATCTTCGTTGAAACTCTTCCTTCTGCTTTTGTCTTTCTTTAAGTCTTTTTTGTCTTATTTTATAAAATATCTCTCTCGTTTTTGCTTTTTTCATTTAGTTTTGCATTTGCTTCCCCAAACTTTCTCCCCAAGCCACATCCAGTTTTAGCAGGCATTGGTGAGCCTGTTTCCTTTGTTGAGAACTGCAATATAAGACCTTCTCTTGTCTTTGTATCTATGCTTCGCAAAGTCTACAATTGGCTTCTTCAGCTAGCTGCATGCGCGTGCATATCTGCATGCGCATGGATATCTATATGTGGATGCATATCTGCATGCATTTGGAGCCACAAAACTCTACACTGCAGCAAATAGTGTTAGCTGCACACACGTTTTGTGGAATTCTATAGAGAAACCCTAGTACATTCAACTGCCGAGCTGCACTTTCTACCTTTTAATTTAAAACATTTAGTTCTAAATAGTTTTGCTACGCATGCATGCTCGCGAGTCACTGCATGCACTGCAAGCTTTACGCCGGCACATATGTGCCTTGGGGTGTACCTACAGCTATGCAGCAGGTGCTGCTTCTAGATTGCTCAGGCACATAGTCATGCCAGCACTTCACACAGCAATCCCTGCTTAGTGGCATGTGTGCATGCATGCATGCATGCATGCATGCAAGCATGCATGCATGCGTGCATGCATGCATGCGTGAATGCGTGCCTGGACACATTGCGCTGCATGCCTGCATTCGTGGCCTTGCATGCGCTACGCTGCTTGCGCTCTCTGTCCGGTGATTGGCTGCATGGGCTGTCTTGCCTGCGTTGAGTTGCACCACATGCATTCCCTGCTTTGCATTCTCTTCTATGCATGCATGCATGCATGCATGTATGCATGCCTGCCTGCACATTTGCAGTGAATGGCTAGCGCTGTCTCATCGGGTGCACATATATGGCTAGACTAAATGAATGAAAATGTGAATGGAAAAATGGCTCTTTGAGTCCATTGGCACAAAAGCACATAAACATAAATGTCTGCATTTGTAAAAATGTGCCCATTTACGCTTCTCTTTTCCCGCATGCAATTTTTTACTTTTTAAAGTGTGCATGCGTGAGTGTAGGTACACCTGGACTGTATATACATCTGAAACGAGGCCCCCAGTCCAACAACTTCACAACGCAGAAATAAGAAGTGAACAAATAGAAATGATTTTTAAATAAAAAACGAATACAGACAAATGGAACACAGAGAAGATAAAGAGGCAATATACAAACAAAAAAAGTTACCAGAAAATAAACAAACAATGCAAAAGAAGAGAAATCAGGCAAAGAGAAGCAAATAAAGAAGAAAGTGGATAGAGAACTAAAAGGCCCTCTCAAGACAAAAAATGCAGGAACAGGATCACAAGAATACGGGCTAGCAGCAACAGCAGCAGTGGCAGTTGCAGCAACGGCGGCAGCAAAAGCAGCAGACACAAATTCATGAAGCTCAACTCTCTTTCGTGCTGCCAGTCCAGCTGCCGGAATTGCTGGGGGCTCTTCTCGCTGCTGACTTTTATCCTCTTGAGGCAGCTCTGGAGGGCTGTACTCAATACAAACTCTGCATGCATGCATGCATGGGCGCACTGATGGACGAATGCATGCATGCATGAGGGGCTGTGTCAGCGCGCATGTCCCTTGCATGCGTGTTGCATGTAGCATTAATGCTATACTTCGGAAGACTGCGCATGCATTAAAGAGTAGGGGTGGTCTATTCTAAAAATGAATTTATTCTAAAATTACGAACTTATATTTTATATTTCTAAGTTCATGAAAATTCAAAAGACATGATTTTGACGTCAAGTGTCTTTACAGCCAAATGCGTGGATGTCAAATGAGCCGGGCCCAGCAACGCCTACGCGCCGCTGTAGCTGCAGTGCTGCAGCGGCAGCACAGCAGCAGCACAGCAGCAGCACCTGCAGCAGCTGTTGCTGCTGCTGCACTCTAGCCACTAAGTCTGCCAGCCCTAACTATGACACCTCGTCCAGTGGTGACAGAGATGCCGGCGGTCACCAGGAACTTCGCGGCAGCCGCAGCTGCTGCTGCGGCTGCTGCTGCAACTGCTGCTGCAGCTGCTGCTCCAGCTGCTGCTCCCGCCTCTGATGATGCTGCTCATGCACGGGCTTGAGCAGCCACAAAATCACAAATATGGAGAAGACATGAGACACAGAGGTACTTGTTGCTGCTTCCGAGGATGCTGCTTCCACTTTTGCTGCCTCCGTCCCGTTTGCTGCTCCCCTTAGTTCCCTTTGATTAAAGGGATTCATCGTTCAGCCCTCGCCGCTTAAACTATTGCGGCTGCTTCTCCTCCGCTGCTGCTGCTGCTGCTGCTGCTGCTGCTGCTGCTGCTTGCTCTTCTGGCCTGCTTTCTTCCTGCGCTTCTGCTGCTGAGGAGTCTGCAGCTTTTCTCTCACTTTTCCTCGCAGGTTCGGGCCGGCCTTCCTCAGTTTCTGGCGCTGCTGCTTCAGTCTCTGGTGCAGCAGGTGCCGCTGCTGCTGCTGCTGCAGTTTCCGGGGCAGCAGGCGATGATTTCTTTGCCTCCCGTGCCTCTTCAGCAGCAGCCTCAGCTGCGCCGCCTCTCTCAGTCTCAGTTGCTGCTGCTGCTGCTGCGCCTCTTTGTGCTTGCTGCTGCTCTGGCTCGGGCCTGCCCTCAGCTTGAGGACGCTCCGCACTTTCGCCTTTGCTGCTTTTTGATTCCTTTGCTTCTGCTTCCGATTTGCTGCTCCTCTTTTGCTGCTCTTCATTAGCAGCAGCAGCAGCAGCGGAGCGGTTCGCGGGCCGCGCAAACCAACCGGGGTTTTCCCGAGCCACCCAGTCGGGCCGAGGGCCTGCACAGCCAGGGGTTTAGGGTTTAGGGTTTAGGGTTTAGGGTTTGGTCTTCAGGGTCTAGCGTTTAGGATCTGGTGTTTAGGGTCTACGGCTGGCCCGCATTCTCACAAACCAACTCTTAACCCCAAACCCTAAACCCTAAACCCTAAACCCTCACCAGGAGGCATGCCGATGATGGGGAGAGACCTGCGGTTGTCCACCATGAGCAGCGCAAACCGCGTGAGGGCCGGGTGCTGCAGCAAATGGTCATGAAGACAATTCCAATAAACAATTTGGCGCAGCAGCTCCCGGCTTTCCCCGTCCGCCAGGTCGTTGCGGGACAGCAAATGAATCACCTGAAGCAGCAAAAGCAGCAGCGCATGCAGGTTTCCATGGACTCTGCAGCAGCAGCACGCGCGGGGAAGAAGCAGCAGCAGGAACGGAGAAAGAGCTGCAGCGAGAGCAGTCACACGGAATGCAGAAGCTGCTGCAACAGCAGCAGCAGCAGCGGCTGCATAGCCGCATAACTCCCAGCAACACCACAGCCACCAAAAAGCACCCTAACCTGCAACACCGACCAACAGCAGCAGCAGCAGCATCAACCAACAGCAGCAGCAGCAGCAGCAGCAGCAGGTTACTCCTCTGTCGAAGACAATCTTGTCCTTGAGAAGCTCCACATTGTTCCAAGTTGTGTTTTGGCCGCGGCGGCTCACACGGCCGTCGTTGCCGTAAAGGACGGGAACACTGGAGCCAACGGGAAGGGTCTCGAGGCGGCCAAGTGCTGCCATGCGGCTGCAGCAGCAACACGCGCAAAACCCTGCTGCTGCTGTTGCACACTGCCTGCTGCTGCTGCACACTCGCCTGCTGCTGCTGCACACTCGCCTGCTGCTGCTGCACACTAACCGCCCATACGGCCAGAATCACCGCTCTTGGGGGCACTAAACCCTAACTACAGCCTCTAGGCCTCAGACCCTAAACCCTAAACCCTAGCCTTGAGGCCCCAGACGGTAAACCCTGGGTGAGCGGTGAGGCCCCAGACGCTAAACCCTAAACCCTAAACCCTAGCTGACCCGACGAGCTTGAGGACGTTTCTCTGGTTCTCCGGCCTTGCAAGTGCTGCAGCAAGACAGGGGGGGGGTCGAGCCCCCTGGAAGTCTCGGGCTCTGTCATCAGGCACTGCGAGGAAGGTCATTGGGCAGGGCACCAGCTGCTGCACGTGGGAAGTTCTCAACATGGACTCGAACAAAGAAAGATCCTGGGGTTCAACAAAAATAAAAAAATATCCAGGATTTAAAGAATAAAAAGGATTAAAAGAAGCAAAAAGGAAAGAATCAAAAGGATGTGCATTCAACATTTGAACTCACTGTGCGCGAACGCAAGACGTCACCAAGAGTGGGAGCGCCCGGAGCCGGAGGGCCCGTTGCAGCACAGGGGAGGTTCTCGGGCTGCAGCAGCAGCAGCAGCAGCAAGCAGCAAGCATCACATCATTCGGAGGGGTAAAGGACAGCTGCAGCACCAACAGTGGCCGGAGAAACGCGGCACGAAAAGGACCAGCGGCAATGGCAGCAGCAGCAGCATCGGGCCGGAGCCCACATTTCCCCAGCAGCAGCACGTCCATCAGGTGCAGCAGCAGCAGCAGCAGCAGCAGTCTCACGTCGGGGTTTCCTCCGAGCTGCTGCTTGACCTTGGGGAGCAGCGTGAAGAGCTCCTGAGGGCTGACTGGCTGGAATTGCGAGGCCTGCTGCCAAGAGTCTGCGTCGTCTTTTCCCTCGGACTCTGCGGGCCTGCTGCTGCTGCTGCTGCCGGGGCCCCGCGGCTCCTCGCCCTCCCCTGCTGCAGCTCTTTCGCCCGAATTCAAAGGGTCGTAAGACGCGCTGGGCAGCCCCGTGCATGCAATGCAGCCAGCAGCATTTCCCGAAGTTTCGCAGCAAAACGGGGGGGCCCCCAGAGCCCCCGCACTTGCTGTGGGCCCCAAGATCGACACAAAGGCCCGGCCTGTGGCCCGGTCGCCCCACATGCCCCACGCCCTGTACAAAGTAGTTCCAGGAGGCTGAGGGGCCCCACACGCACAACACCCGCAAACTCGCGCTGCTGCTGCTGCTGCTGCTGCTGTTGCTGCTGGGGTTTTCTGCAGGGCTAGGGCCGGCCTCGGGGGGATGGGAAGGAAGGGAGAGGGTTTAGAGTTTAGGGTTTAGGGGGCTTACAGGGACGTAGGGGGTTTGGGGAACAACATAGCAGGTGGCTCGCCCGCTGGGCCTGCGGGCGCATGCCAGCAGCAGGGGCCCCATAGGGTACTGCTGGCCCCTGCCGGAGAAGTAGACGGGGGCCCAGGGCCCCGCGGGGGGGAAGGGTCTACTGAAGTCTATTCTGACGGCTTCGTGCAGGGTCTGCTGCTGCTGCTCGTGCTGCTCGTGCTGCTCCTGCTGCTCCTGCTCCCCGTGCTGCTGCCGTTGCTGCTCGGCCTCAGGGGGATCCTCGATCCCGTAAGTCCAGTCTGGCACTTCAAGACGCCCCCTTGATGCCCCTTCAAGACCCAGGATGCGTCCTGCTGCTTCTGGCAGGTAGTAGGGCGCTTCCATAGGGTACAGCTTCCTCTCCTGGGCGTTTGACTTCGAAGCTTTTGCTGCAGCAGCTGCTGCTGCTGCTACCTCAGCTTCCATGCGCGTTGCTGCAGCATCTACTTCCCGCTCCCGAACTGCAGCAGCATGGCCGGCCCGCTCCGCCTCCAGCAACGCTCTGGTGGAGTCGTCGGCAGCAGCAGAAGCAACAGCAGCAGCCACGTAGAGCCCCAATGTGCCCAGCAGCAGCAGCTGCTGCGTGCGGCACCTCAAGACCACCATTGTGCTGCGACCAAGAGAAAGCCCCGCATGCAAAGAGCACAGAGAAACAAGCATTATCTCAGGGTCTACTGATTTCCGGGTAGGCGTGGGTCTTGGAACTTGTCTGAAATGTGAAAAGTCCTGCAGCTTACTTAGGGGCTGTAGACAGCCTTGCTAACCTGTTAATTCTTCTCCAAGTGTGCCGGCAAGATAAGGCGCTGGAGAGGTGTTTAGCCCAATGATGGGCGTTGGCGGTTGGAGAGCGGACCAGTGGTCACAACGTGCCGACGTAGACTGCAGCTCAAGAAAACCGGCAACAACCTATTAATCAAAAGCCAAATAATGTATTTAATAAAAGATGACTTCCACAACTGTGCTTGTAGATTTCTGCTGCTTCCTCAGGTCCTACACTTGGCAGATAGACGGAGAGGCGCCGCCGCGCGCCGCCGCCCCACCCCAAGCCGCGCGCCCACCGGGTGACCCTATAGGCCATGTCAGTGACACAAGAGGGAAGAAATGTTAGAAAATTTTGTTTTATACTTTTCAACAGCTTAAAAGAAATATATTTCAGCGATAAAACTTGAGTTCGGAACTCCCTGGTCGACTCCGTACTCAACGCTCCCCAGGGGCCTTCAGGCACCACGCTGGTGCACTTCCAGCAGCTACAGGCTACACAGACAACCAAGTTTTGAGCATTTTGATCTTTTAAAGACTTTTAAAGAGTTCAAACAGCGAAATCCGGTAAATTTTGACTCTTCAAAGAGGCCAGAGGCCTTTTTTAGTGCTGCTGGGACCCAGTTTTGAAAAAGGTAGTATTTGGGGAAGATTCTCTAGGGCAGTAGAAGCTAGGAACTCTGACACCTGAGCTGTTTTCTCTAAATGAGGTTGTGTAGCATCTTTCACATGCCATTTGTTTGTCGCTAATAAGTATGTAGAGGCTTGGCGTGGCCTACTGGCACCGCGCTTTCCCAGAGAGAAGTAAACATTTGCTTCCCCAAAGCAAATTCATAGCTGCGAAAGCAGCCCTGATATTCATTAATAAGTTACAAACTCCGAATTAGGAGGCTCTAAGTCGAAGGGAGCCGCGGCGCAAAGAAGTTATCAAGCCCCAGTTGCAGTGAAGTACAGCTAACTGCAGCTAGCTGGTCACAGCTTTATCTTGTCTCAGGCAGCCACAGCTAGCTGCAGCTAGTTAGCTACACGAAACATACAGCAAATGGACTGTGGGAATAAGCCGCACACCACCAGAAGGCTTCCCGTAACTATATGAATAATTGTGGAGCACTTGCAAATCCCAGATATAAAGACAAACGAAGAGGTCCCCGCAAACATAAAACTGAGCACGAAGCTTAAAGTGCTTCTTTCGCTGCTGCTGCTGCAGCTGGTTGAAGCAGCAGCAGCTGTGGTGTTTCTAAATGTAGCTCTGAGGCTTCCAAGTGGCCTTGCGCAGCCCTGCTGCAAAGCAAGCTGGGCCATTCCGTGCATGCATGCAGCAGCTGAATGCAGCAGCACTCTGACTGCAGCAGCTGCGCGCTCGCTGTGCACTGAGCCCTGTGCATTTCCTGCGAAACTCAGACAGAAGCCATTTGCCTGTCAGCTTTCTTGAAGATTTGGCCTTTTCTTCTTTCTTAAACTCTAGC